CTAAATAAACAATTACAAAAAACAGAGAAATTTTATGATTACTAATGATGGAAACAGTGAGATCAGTGGCAGCACTTGTAGGGGGTACAGGAAGGGTATTTTTAACCCCCAGAAAAAATTTTTTGTGCCCCACAAGAAATTTCAAAAATGATTTTGTACGTTTTCGCCCCAAAATATGTGTCAGAATGCACCAAATCATTTAAATTTCAATTTTTTTGGGTGGGAACCCGTGAGACCTGTTGTGGGAGACTTACGAACATGGAGCTTCCACATTGGGCATTTTAACCCAGAAAGTTGTACCCCCCATTAATGAGTCTACCCACTATTAGTACCACTAGTTCCAGGAGACTGGCGCCGCCATTAATCGAGATATTATCAAAGCTAATATTATTATGACTTAGAGCAATATTATCAGATCATAGGCCTATTGTTTTACATTCTAATTAATTACTATAACAAAACAATAACTCATTGTTCAGGGTCCAAAAAGATATGAGAATTTGCATGTGCAATTGTTTTTTCTGCACCTAATGAGCTGATGAAGATGCAATGCCATGCTGTGTAAAATGAGGGAAACTTTTGCTTTGAAAATGGCATAAACCTAGTCTTTTTCCATTTTCAATAGTGGAGAGCAGGTTAATTGAGTATAAAATTTCAGAATGACCCACTGTTTATCTAATCATTTAGTTATAGAAACCCACACATATCTAAACAACCCTATTAGTCTACTGTGATATTTACAGCACTCAACTTTAATGTCAAAGGTTAAATGTTACATGTCAAAGGTCATGTTCCCAAGTGTTACATTTGAAACACATCAAAGACAGCCACCAATGTAGCAAGATAAAGGTTACATTTCAGTCCTCTCTTAGAATATTCAAGAATTTAAATGGAGGGTGTCTGTAAAAAGTCATAAAAAGGCCTATAACTACTATGCCTAGATACCAGGTTTGCAAGATACAGTCTAACGCACTGCACTAATGAAATTCAGTAAATAACAAGCCGGCAAGCCAGATCGAATTCTGATACATATTTTAACACTTCTTGCAGGTTTTAACAGAAAAGAATAGAATGAACCCTTTCACCTGACTCAATTCAATCTATAACAATAGTAGTTCAACTGACTCAATTCAATCTATAACAATAGTAGTTCAACTGGCAAATTGAATAAAAATTTGATATCAATAGATAACAGAGGTTGAAATGAATTTCTATAAATGATATGAAATGGTAAGGAAATTGACTGATATAAAATACGACTAGTATTCATCTATTATTTAACAGAATAGTTCAGTGAATATAATGTCATTTATTGACTAACCTATTACACTACTTTGTTATATTGATCCCCACCTGACTCTTGCAAGCTTTCAATTTGACCCTGTTTCCCTCTGTCAGTGATGCAGGTCAGAGGGGTTGACATAAAAAAAAGGGTCTAGTCGTTCAGATGGGACAATAAACTGAGGCTCTGTATGCTACGGGCTGTGCATGTTTAAGATTTCACGATAATCGAAAAGAGTAGACTAATGCAGAGGTACTAGCAAAATTTCCCTCATTGCACACTGCATGACATTGCCCGTCTGAAGCAAATTGTTATCTATTTTATGTGAATACTAATGAATTAATTATTCCAATTGTCTAATTAGCTAGAAGTAATTAATCAAATAGCCTGACAGTTTAGATACAGTTAGACAACACTCTATACCATCAATCAATACCAATCAATACCAATCAAATATTAACAAATCAAAGTAGTTGAAATTGAATTTTAAAATAATACACCCTAAATAAATTCTCTTTGAGGTAAGTAAAACCTTGATGCCTGTGTCAGTGCTTTTGAGACTGGACCTGATGTTGGCTCTTAAATGTATGTCTTATTTATTCTGGAGGTTTCGACTAAAATTATGAGGCCCAACAACAAAACTAAACAAGACTCAACGTTTGATAATAAAAATTTCACATACTGCCCCTTTAAGACAAATTAACTTTGATCAAGGAGATACATAGAAACAAATAAAATATTTCAGAAATTTTTCACATACAGCACTGTCCCTTTAATACATAAACATGAATATCAACTGAATATAAACAAAGTATAACTATATACTGCAGTGCAGATTGGTTTAAAAATACTGATATTTTAATTGAATTTATTGCAGGAACATCTGCAGCAAGTGGTTATTTATATATTAATAAACTCCATTCTCAAATATTTCTGACTTTATAGTTAAACAGTCTTCTAAATATTTATTAACTGTATCACTTTACAGAATTAAAATCTGATGTCTGGTTCTCTTACAATACACCAAAAACAAGGCCTGATATGGGTTTTTGGCATAGATTAAGTATAAGTGACTGCTACAAATCTTGGTAAAGGTTTGAAAGATGTCAGGCCGTTGTAAGTCAGAAAAACTTCTATGTGTTTTACGAGGAATGTCCTCAAATACCAACATTCACAATTTGTGATCTAAATCCTAAAAAATATCTTTCTCAAAGTTGCATTCAACTCCAATCTTTCAAAGATCACAAGAAAAATACTTCAAATAAAAATAACATGTTCAAAAAAAATGTGGGCATTGAAAAAAAAAAAAAATAAGTGTTGTCACTTTAAAAGATTTGTGTATGTGTAGGTGGATGTTTGGGTTAAATGCAAAGAGACAGAATATATCAGAGGGCCATAAATTCAATATACCTCAGTCTACAGGGCAATATGCTTCAATAACATTGGCACAATGTTTTCAACCATAAATTTGAATATTAAAGATACCCTATATGGTAGTAAAAATGACTCATAACTTTTCATACTTGAGGGCACAATTACCCAAATTTAGGTCACAAATAGTTTTTATGGCCCGTAGCGAGTGGGTTTTTCATTCAATTTTTTAAAATTTGCATAGACGATTTGTAGTAAAAACCATTGATCGGCCAACGTGTTGCAGCATTTTACGCATGTCTTTACAAATCAGTTAGGCCTACACTTATAAAGAATGCATACATATCACATTCAAATGATAGCTTTTTGAGTAGTGACACATACCAAAGAGTCGGTTTCCGGACTTCAACGCATTTTTCAAAAGTATACAGGTAAATGGCGATTACCTTGTCGCGATTTGAATATTTTGAGCTAGAGACAGACGGACAAAATGTTGCTGATTTGCATCATGCATCTTATTCTATATAAACTAATATTAAAAACTTACAAAATAGTAAAAATCCTTTTCAAATGTATGTCGGCGAATTAAAAGCTTCTTTCATGTACAGGTGGGCGCGCACCTTACATCCGGGACACTACACACCTTTTGATGACGTAGTACACTCAGCTAGATAATCCCATTATTCTACTGCTTATTGAAGGAGTATTAAAGTGACTGTGTGACTGCCACTTAAAGAGTTCATATATAAATAAGTTTTCAATCAAATACAATGTACACAGTAGCTTGTAATCTGTAACAAACCTTAGACCTTAGAGTAATGACCGAGGTTTTCGAGAAGAAAAAGGTCAGCAGTGCATTGGTCTTAGTAATCTTGACCACTTTCAATCTAACGGGACCATCAAAACAACATTCCAAATTTCACGTGTATAATTAAACCATGGGTGGACAATACAGACCATATAACCCCCGAGTCTTTATTACCAAATATCAATAAATTATATAGCCGTTATGAATATAAACCACGAATTCAGTATGGAACAATCCTATTAATTTCTTTCCAAGGCGCGCTCTATAGGCTGTGCAAAGATCTCTGTAGAGTTTGAAATTGGACAAGAGTTGCCTAATACTACTGTCCTGACCTATGATTAGGTGTCATTCTCGGGTCGGAATGGTCTGAACTCTTTCCTGATGAAATCATCTATGCACATTCCTATGCAAATGAAGACCATTCAACTGTGATATTTGGGGGAATTGATTAATTTCTTGTTAATGAAGTAAATATCGATCGTTAACTGGAATAGTTATGGAATTACGACACCGCTATCTGATTGGTGAAAAACAAAATGATAAACCAATCAAAGGGTAGGGAATTCATTCTTGAAGTCGAGGCATATATTTTTGTGTCATTTGAATGTAAATAGCCAATCAGAGTCGCTCCGTGTCCATAAAGAAAATGACTTCTTAAATAGACCTCCTGACACCAATCGTTGGATCTTAGTTGTAGAACAAAGAGATGGGTGATTGATAGTTGCAGGAATCAACATAATTATAGTTCCATTGTACGTGGAAATCATTACAAATTTGTCTTCATATCGCATGCAATTAGGTCCAATATAAATTGTTGAAACACGTTTTGTGGAAATTTAAAAAAATTCAGAGAAATTAGCCTGGACTTGCATCTTTAATGGTCAGTAAAGGGTCAAAGCCGTTTACAAGTGATCAACACCATATCACGCTTATCAAATGACCTTTGACACGTGAGTGATCAGATAGGTTCTGGCTTAATGAAGATTATGTTAAACAGTAGCTTGATAAACTAATCTCAGAACGGTGCCTTAGGAAATTTAATCTGTTTACTGTCAGTCTGAGTGGATTAATTTTTGATTGACCATTAGAAGACAAAACGGCTCCTGTGTACCAAGATTAGCTTAATCAAGCTATGATTACATATTGTAGGGAAATTCATTAGCCTATCCATTTTTTTTAAAATTGAAAATAGCTCACAATGTCCAGCCCTACATATACTAGCATCCTGTCTAAATGAAGCCCATTTTTAGTTTTCTGTCAGAAGAAGATTTAAAATCTTTCTCAGAAACGATTGAATTTATTACATTTAATTTAAGCCCTTTGTTGGTTCTTCATAAGTCGCTTTAAGCTAGGACTTGGCCTTGAGCAGTTGAAGGGAGGTAATACATTTTTTCCACATGACTTCTCCATCACGAGTTATCTTTCCATAACAATGGCCGCCGAGACGCCATTTTTGCGTGTTTGGGAAAGAAAGTAAATGACTGTTAGAAGGCTCCAAAACACATTTTGGGGCTTTCGTTTCCTCGTTAATGGAGTAATATGAATCTAGATTCCTTATCATGTGCTTTAGCCGAAATCAGTTACTCTGTGGCCAATCTAACAAAGAAAAATTTCAAGGCGGTAGTGACTGAAATCAACCATCTTGTAAGTCAACACGGAGCGGAGGCCGATAGACATTTATTTCGCTGCCTTTTTTCTCACATCGAATTCGGCGGAGACGGAAAAGGCAGTAAAGACTTTCATCAGACTCAATTTTTAATTCAAGAGTGTGTAAATCTGCTTTGTAAACCAGATTTTGTATCCATATTGTGTAACGCAATAGACAATCCCTTTCAACATCAGAAAAGTTTGAAGCCAAACAGCCAGCTTTTTTCTAATATTAGTAAAGTTTTGAAGTTAAGCCGAGTACAAGAAGTAGCGTTTGGGTTAGCCTTATTAAACTCGACCAATCCAGGCATCAGTACCCAGGCTGCTCAGTTTGTGAAACAGAAAGTACCAGATTTATTACATTCGTATGTAGACGCTGATTCATCAGGTAGACAAGAAGGCGGTTTACAGGATACTGCTGTTGAAACCCTCCATTTTCTTCTCACCCATTTACTTCATGGAAAAGGACAATTTGGTGTCGGTGTAGAACAAAAAGAAGCTCTCCTTAAAGCCTTAAGAAGAGATTTTCCACGTGATCGAGTACCAGCTATATTAAATCTTATTTTATACCCAGAAATAGAAGATATCCCCACAAATAAACTATTTGACACTACCATTTTACCCAGTTCAATAATGGTAGCCTCATTAGAGTACCTAATACAAGAATCGGGCGTAGGATGTACAGCAACGGTAGAAGAATGTCGCAGCAAATTGATGCAATATGGAGTGAAGAAAATCACCCCTGGTTCTGTGGCCAGGGTGTTAGGAATGATGGCCCAATATCCCAATGGTGTGAATGAAAGGGGGGAGGTGCCACCCCAAACAGTTACTGGATGGAACGATACACCAGGGGAGACCATTTGGAATGAAGAAATCTTTGTCATGGTCGTCAAAGACCTCGCACCACATCTAAACTGGAAAGATGTTGTGGCCAACTTGGATTATCCAGAATTTATGGTGTCCAACAGCAAAGGTTTACGTCTGTTAGTACAAGCCTTATTTAGAGGACTGCAAGCCATTTTTCCTGTAGAATACATTTACAAATCATGGAACAATGTGGGAGGTCAACTTTCTTTCATCAATCAAGCCCTCAGGTCTCCAGATATTTTCAGCTTTGCCGATTATCCTGGGGATACAGTCGTCATAGACATCTTGAAAACTACACCAAATGAGGATGATCGTGACGTCAAGACCTGGAAGTCCCTGGATTTAGTGGAGACGTTGCTGAGATTGTCAGAAGTCGGCCATTACCAACAAATTCATGACTTGATGAAAGTACCAATTCAGAAATGTCCAGATATATTAGTGCTAGCATTATTACAAACCAAACCATCATGGAATATTCTTAAGCAAGAATTGATTGCCAAATTGATGCCAATTTTCCTTGGAAGCCATACCAATTCTGCAGTGGTTCTTCATTATGCCTGGCATCATCAAGGTCATTCCAATAACATCAGAACTCTAATAATGCATTCGATGGCTGAATGGTATATGAGAGGAGACCAGCATGATCAAATGAGATTATCCAGAATTTTAGACGTAGCTCAAGACTTAAAGGCCTTGTCAATGTTATTAAATGCCACCCCATTTGCATTTGTCATTGATTTGGCCTGTTTGGCTTCGAGAAGAGGATACCTGAAGTTAGACAAATGGCTCTCAGACAAAATAAGCGAACACAAGGAACCCTTTGTTCAAGCCTGTGTGAGTTTTCTGAAGAGAAGATACCCCCAACTGGTAGGGGGACCGATAAAAGAAGACCTGGCACAGATGAAAAGCCAGCAGCTTTTGCCAGAGACAGTAGCCACCATGTTGACTCATCTTAAAACGTGGTCTGTTCATGTTTCTCAAGAATTAGCAGACGCCATCACAACAATGTACAACAATGCCAGTTCCTTATTCAAAGCCAGACAGGGACAACAACCCCCAGGACCAAATACAACCCAGTTTCCCTCAACCAACCCATTAGACGTCCTGTCAGGAATTGGTGGAATCTTGGCCCACAACCCAACATCATCACAGACTTCTGCAGCATCTGCATTCCCACAAGTTTCTTCAGCTTTCCAGCAGTCTACACCACAGTTGCCTGGCATGAACACAGCAGCACCAGGCTCTCCATCTAAGACTTTCCCAGGTGTCACCTCAACCAACCCGACAGCAGTCAACCCCATACAGTCATTACCATCCCAGTTCCAGACACTCAACACCGGGGGCGGTCCTCCAGGAGACATGTCTGGCATCTTCCCTGAGATGAATCTCAATCAACAGTTCAGTAAGGATGTTGAAGACAAAGCCAACACATACTTTCAACAGATATACAACATGCCTCCGCATCTGACCATGACCATTGATGATGTATTGGAAATGCTGAAAAGGTTCAAAGACTCTCAGAATAAAATGGAGAGGGATGTATTTGCCTGTATGCTGAGAAACCTATTTGAGGAGTACAGATTTTTCCCTCAATACCCAGAACGAGAACTCCACATTACTGCCCTACTCTTTGGAGGAATTATTGAGCAAGGAATTGTCACTTATTGGACTCTTGGAATTGCTCTAAGATACATCCTGGAAGCTTTACGTAAGCCTCATGGCAGCAAGATGTACTATTTTGGTATAGCAGCGTTGGACAAATTCAAATCCAGATTAAAAGATTACCCTCAATATTGCCAGCACTTAGCCTGTATCCCTCACTTCTCTAGATCCCCACAACATTTGATTGAATACGTGGAGTATGGTGCTAGATCTAAGGAACCACCCCACATGCCACAAGCACCCTGTTCACTGTCTCAGTCAATGGCAGGGCTGACAATACCTGGTGCGCCTGTGGTAAACATGCCACCAAAAACATCTGGAACCCCACAAGAAGGATGGCCTGATATCTCTGGTGGATCAGCTCCCAAATTAACACCAGCTGTTTCTGCACCAACACCATCAACGCCAACATCGTCTGGAGAAATTTCCAAAGCAGCTACTTTCCAGAAGCCGTCAATAGCTACTGCTACCAATATTGACACTCTGTTAGCTGGACAGCAGAAGGATGAAGTTGCTGTTCCTCCTGAAGCACTTCAAGACAAAGTTTTCTTCATCTTTAACAATCTGTCTCAGTCCAACATGGGTCAGAAGGGAGAAGAACTCAAGGAGCAAATAGGAACAGAGTACATCCCCTGGTGCTCACAGTACCTGGTCATGAAAAGAGCCAGCATTGAACCAAACTTCCACACCCTTTACTCTGGTTTTGTGGATGTTTTAAATATCCCGGAGTTAACAGATCTCATCACTAGAGAAACCTTCAGGAACATCAAAGTCTTGCTGAGAAGTGACAAAGGAGTGGCTAACTTCTCTGACAGAACTCTTCTGAAGAATCTGGGACATTGGCTTGGAATGCTGACCTTGGCTAAAAATAAACCTATTTTACAAACAGAAATAGATCTCAAATCATTGATATATGAAGCTTACCAAAAAGGAGCCCAGGAACTTCTATATGTTGTACCTTTCTCTGCTAAAGTCTTAGAATCCTGTGCTAGGAGTAAGGTATTTAAGGCACCAAATCCATGGACATTAGGAATCATGAATGTCTTGGCAGAATTGCACATGGAACCTGATTTGAAATTGAATTTGAAGTTCGAAATTGAAGTCCTCTGCAAGACACTGAGCATTGACATCAATGATCTAAAACCAACCAACTACTTGAAGGATCCAATGAGAATTGCCACCATAGAGCCTCAACTATCTGCTCCAAGAATTCAAGATCCTGTAACAACACCAACACCACAGCCTTTCGGTGGTGCTCCTAATTCTCTAATGAACACAGTACTGCCGCCAATGATGTCGATGCAAGCAACATCAACTGCCACTACAACATCGACAATAACAGCAACAACCCCTAGTCTACCACCTCAACCACAGTACAGCTTCAGCGAAATCAACACCCATTCATTGTCTGGTCTAGCTCAACACATCATCATCAATGATCAGATTGCTCTGTTTTACACCAACCCCAATTTGAAGCAGTATGTCAGACCAGCATTAGAAAAAGCAGTCCAAGAGTTGCTGCCACCAGTGGTTGAAAGATCTATCAAGGTAGCTTTAACAACTTGCGAACAGACTGTCAAGAAAGACTTTGCCCTTGATCCAGATGAAGGAAGAATGAGATCAGCAGCTCACTCCATGGTTAGAAATATAACAGCTGGTTTGGCTCTCATAACTTGTCGAGAACCACTCTTCATCAGCATCAGCAACAACCTGAAGACAGCCTTCCTTTCAACTCTGAGAGATGTAGCTATCAATGTCATAGAAGATGCTGTGCAAACATTAGCACAAGACAACACCGAATTAGCTTGTGCTTTTATCCAGAAGACCGCAGTGGATAGGGCTATACCTGAAATGGACAAAAGATTAGCAACAGAATATGATTTGAGAAAGCATGCTAGAAGTGAAGGAAGAAGATATTGTGATCCTGTGGTTTTAACATATCAAGCAGAAAGAATGCCAGAACAGATCAGATTAAGAGTTGGTGGAGTGACGCCTCAACAAATTGCAGTTTATGAAGAATTTGCTCGTAACATCCCTGGCTTCTTGCCATTGACAGAAAACACCAATTTACCACCTGGCATAACCAAACCAGTTCCATCATTTGCCCAGGATGATGTTATGATGATTTATGAAAAGATTATTAGAGAAATCGAAACTCATTTACAGTGCATGATGAATATGTCAACTGCCAACCCAATGATGGCACAACTCAACAGTTTAATGGACTCCATCATGTTGGCCCGTCAAAACAGAGAAGTGATCTCTGCTGCTGCATTGGTGAAGAAAGCAGTGGAAGGACTTTTGGACCAGTATACCATGTCAAGTGCCACAGATCAAGAGCTCTTCTTCAGATATAGAGAATGTCATCTCTTAGTTCTTCGAGGTCTTCAAGATCCAAGAGCATATGGTCCACAATGGGCTATTAAGGAAGTCACCAACTGTCTCCTCCACTGCAGACCTGAACACAGATACAACATTGATGCTGTGGATCTACTGATCAGAAGTCAGCTGGTCAACTTGCAAGAATATGACAACTCTTTGGCAGTTCTCCTGACTGGAGTCAGCAATACACCAGTACAGTTTGCTATGCAGATTATCCAAAGATACGTTCTGGATGAAAAGAGTCCAGTTCCTGATGCAGAATTCCCAAATACTATTGCAGCTTTGAGCCATAAGGTTTCCAGATCTGCTCGCCCACAAGAGGGACTGACAAATCTCCTTGAGATGATTCGACAAAAGAGTCAACAGAATACTGACAATTTGGGATTAGACAGAAATTCGACTTCAGCTTACTCATCCATGCTGCAGTCTGGCATCAATCAAGCTAAAGAATTTGATGATCCACCAGGCCTCCATGAGAAGACAGAGAACCTGCTGATAGAGTGGGTCAACATGTACCACTCCCCACAAGCTGGACGTGATCGCACCAAAGCCTTCTTCTCCTTCGTCCAATACATGCATCAACAAGGCATCTTAAAGACTGATGATTTGATCTCAAGATTCTTCAGGCTCTGTACAGAGATGTGTGTAGATCTCTGCTACAGAGCTTTGGTGGAACAGAACCAAAGTCCAACACTGATTAGAGCCAAGTGTTTCCACACTCTAGATGCTTTTGTACGTTTGATTGCTCTACTGGTCAAGCACTCTGGTGATTCTGGTAATACTGTAACCAAGATCAACTTATTGAATAAAATCCTGGGTGAGTATTGCACCATTCATCATGGGCATTGATTCATTTTATTGGCACACTATGGAGGGTTACACAACAGGATTGTATGACTTATTCAGATTTCTTGTCTGACTCCTTCTAATTCCTGGTCACTAGGTCGCTTGTATGAAATGTATGGAGCATGATTTCAACTATCTGTATCACCTTTCTGGTTCTCCAGGACTGTATTGAGTTTAGTTATTATTCATGCCATGTTGAAAGTAACAACAGTCTATATTATCAGAAAATTAACTCCCTTACTTAATCTATTTCAGGCATCATTACTGGGGTTTTAATGCAAGATCATGAAGTTCGAGGAACTGAATTCCAACAACTACCATATCATAGACTCTTCATCATGCTCTTTATAGAACTCAATGCTCCAGAACCAATCTTAGAGAGCATCAATATGCAGGTGCTGATTGCTTTCTGCTCAGTCTTCATGTTTCTACGTCCTGCTAAAGCTCCAGGATTTGCTTATGCCTGGTTGGAGCTGTTGTCTCACAGAGTGTTCATTGGACGCCTCCTGGCTTTGACTCCACAGCAAAGAGGATGGGGAATGTATGCACAGTTGCTGATTAATCTCTTCAGATTTTTGTCACCTTTCTTAAGAAATGCAGAGCTTCAAAAACCAACCCATCTTCTGTACAAAGGAACATTGAGAGTTCTACTGGTCCTGCTTCACGACTTTCCAGAGTTTCTCTGTGATTACTACTATGCTTTCTGTGATGTAGTACCACCAAATTGCATCCAGATGAGGAACCTAATCCTTAGTGCTTTTCCCAGGAAAATGAGACTTCCTGATCCTTTCACTGCTAACCTGAAGGTGGATAGTCTACCAGATATTACAGTGGAGCCCAGAATACTACCCAATTACGTCCAAATGATTCAACCAGCCTCCTTTAAGAAGGATTTGGACTCCTACCTTCAGACCAGAGCTCCCATCACTTTCCTGTCTGAACTACGCAGCAGTTTACAACAGAACCCAGAACCAAACAGTCATCTGCATTACAATATACCATTGATCAATGCTCTGGTTCTGTATGTGGGAACTCAAGCTATATCATCAATCCAAGCTAAAGGTCAGGTTACCAGTATGGGCACCATAGCTCCATCATCTCATGTAGACATCTTCCAATACCTAGCAGTAAACTTGGACACAGAGGGAAGGTACCTGGTACTCACTGCCATAGCTAATCAACTACGCTATCCCAACAGCCACACCCACTACTTCAGCTGTTGCATGCTCTACCTGTTCGCTCAAGCCAACAACGAACAGATCCAAGAGCAGATAACTCGAGTCTTACTGGAGAGAGTCATTGTGAATCGCCCACATCCTTGGGGATTACTCATTACATTCATCGAGATGATCAAGAATCCAACTTATAAATTCTGGAATCATGAGTTTGTCCATTGTGCTCCAGAGGTTGAGAAAATGATGGAGGGAGTTGCTCAGTCCTGTCTACATACAACACGTGAACCAGAAAACCATTCTGAAGTTCATTAAACAAATCATTGGACTCAACAAATGATTCAAGGAGGACTTGATGGACAAACTTGAATGCAAAGTGTCTCTAACAATTATGAAAAGTGCTTAATTTATATTTGTCATTGTTACCAAAACTTAATTTCATCTCATTTGGAATAATTTTTCCTGAAAAAAAATCACAAAAATTGGTGCATTTCTTAATGAAAATGATGAGATATTGAAAAAAGATTAACAAAGACAAAATATTTTCTTTTTAAAAACTACAGGAGACTTTGTGGATATATATTTTTGACTCGAAAGACTTCTTTTTGTGGTTTGTGTTGAAATTTGAGACTATATTCTGGGCGTAGGGAGCAGATTAAGACTTTTTTTGAAGGGGAAATTCACCCCAAGTTATATTTTACTTTATTATAATAATCAAATTGGAATATTTTTGTTGAGTTTGTGACCACTAATTTTTTGTGTTTTTCATCACCACCTATTGAATTGTGGACACAATCTGGTGCCATTTGTCTGAGCGAATATCAAATTTGCAACAAATTGTGAAAGATTGAACTCCAAAGATGTTTCATTTTTTACTGAGAAGATATTTATTTGGCTTCTTAATTAGTTCGATACATTTTGCTATCTGATTTAAATGCAGAGCTGGTTGTTTCATTTTGTGCTTTTTCTGCAGACATCCATGATCTGATTATATACTTCTGTAAAATCATGTTCTGTTGAATTTGGACTCAAAAGCATTCAGCTTGTTATGACATAGAACACAAGATGCATAACAGTTTAATCAGATCATGAATGAGAATTGAAGTCACTGCAGATATAACATGAAACTTAACATGCAGTTTTGCATTTTAATCCGATTGACTTTGCTTGGACTCAATGTAATGGAAAAGATGTACAGGTTTAGCATGAATACATGAGATTTTCAATGGGGGAATATCAAATGGTTCATTCTAAAATACAATACCACTTGCTTTGATATATCTTCTCAATGTTTGAAATGATTCATTTTATATGGAGCCATTGGGTTAGTGAATGAATTCTAATTTCCCTATGCCCTGGTAATTCTCTATGTATATTGTTGGACTATTATTAAGCACTGCTTAAATATGTAAATATGATTCGCCTATATATTATCCTTACGTAAAAATATAGTTTTTGTTAGTTGCTTATATAGAGATTTTTTCTCTTATTGCCCCCCACCCCTTGTGCTAAAGTGAAGTGTCAGTGCTGTGGAGGGGGGCCGGATATACATGAGGGGTCAGTGGCTTGCTGGGACCAGACAGTTAATAAGGGGTCATTTCATTTGGTGGGGCAATAGAGGTCACCTTTGGTGTTGACATTAAAGATCTTGATCACAAAGAGAATGCCAGCATCTAAGCAAAGTTTCCCCTCATTCCACATAGCATGCTGTCCTTAGGCAAGTATGATGTAAAAGCTCATTCCATTTATATAGTGAGCAACAAGGATTATGAACTGTGCCACACATGAGGGGCTCTCTCAACACCAGCAACTACCATCATTTAAAAGTATCTATGCTCATGAACATCAAATCAGCCTACTGATCAGATTGATTGATAAGGGATGGGGAGGACAAAGCATAAAAGGATCACTCCTGATATATCTTTTTATATATAAAACAGAACAAAAGACTATTTCTTAATTTTATTTTTTAAGCACCAAGAATGTTAAGTTTAGTCGAAGAGACCTGAAAAAGAATAAAAGTCCAGTTAAATACAATAAATTAAGGAATAAAACATCAAAAAAATACAAACTCAAAGCTTAAGCTGACAAAATTCATGGCGCTGCATATGAAATGAGCTCTCTGCTAAAGGATAAAATAGTGTGGACTCCCCAAAAGATGAGAATAGTTAAACATACCGAATCCCATGTCATCATCGGATTCCTCAGATTCTTCCTTCTTTTCTTCTTTCTTGGTTTCTACAAAATAGATCATCATGAGCATTAATAGGGACACAAGATTACACCAGTTGTTAATATACAGCCATTAATTTGGTTCTGTTATCTCAGAAAGACTAATCAAATGCACATCGTGTGTTCACTTCCTTGGCTTAGGCATCATTGTAAACATAACCAAATATAGATTGTTTTCAGTTGGATTTAACATGATTTTGGTCAGTCCTGTTTTCCTCTTTCAAGATTTGTAATAGAATTGCTACCTCAGAAAGACTAATCAAATGCACATTATGTGTTCACTTCCTTGGCTTAGGCATCATTGGAAACAATTCTATTACCGCTGTTCCAATTTATCTGGACATAATAGTCAGACAGTAGCTAGATGGCAACACTTACCAGCCTTAGCTTCTCCACCAGCTGCTGGGGCACCTCCAGCTGGGGCAGCAGCAGGTGCAGAACCTGCAGCACTTCCGATGTTGGTGATCAATTCCTTAACATTTACACCATCTAAGGCTTTAGAGAAGAGTGCTGAAATAAAAAAAGAAACAATCTAGGCCTAGATGATTGCCCACCATAGTAAGGAATGTAAATAAGTTACACAAAGCATCATATATGATCTGACCATACCAAGATTCAATGCTTGAATGTGCCCCACCATCAAACAGGCTTACTCCAACAATTCTAAATGAGTGACATACTTACATGGCCAATAAGGCTCTACCAAAACACCAGCTGCCTTCAAAACGGTGCTAATTTTTTCAGCCTAGAAAGTATACAGCAGAAATTTAGTAAGAGGAAATGAAAGTAATACAAATGGACTTTGAGAGGATAGATCACTGATGAGGCACTATCCATTCGTGGCATCAGAGCACAGACATGGCATGGTCTTATATTTTGAAATCAAGAGATTCCTCTGAAGAGAAAAACAAAACAAAAGTATGGCTCCACGTGTGAATTCATACGATAACAAAATAAGCCAACTTACAGTGATGGAAACATTGTCATCTGCCAACAAAAGAGCGGCATAGACACAGGCAAGTTCATCAGTAGATGTCATTTTGTTTGTTTAATTATTTGTATTGAGTGGATGTTGTGAAATAATAGTGTACGTCGCCGGATTGGCCTTAGCTCTCGTGAGAACGATACACTTAACACAATCGCTATTTCAGAAAGAACCACTAAAAGGTCGCGAAACCAAACTTCCGGTACTTTTACGACAATGTGATATTTCGCTTTTTTTATATCAAACTAAAAGTAAATATTTAAAAATCTTGGTTTGTGAATAACCTTGGCACTTAAATAACATATTAAATGACTTAAAGCTGAATTTGCAAAATTTCGAAAATGTTAAATTACGACATTGTCAAAGTAATCGTAAAATCCAACATGGCTGATAGGTTTGTTTACGTGTTGACTCTGTGTTTAATTCTCTGTTCTGCTCAATCAAAAGCAGATGACGACCATGGTGAGAACGTTGTCACTCTGAAGAAAGATACATTCAACGATGCCGTCTCATCTTCCAAACTTTTTGTTATGTTTTATGCACCATGGTGAGTGTTTTTATCATGACCCTTGATCTTGGGCAAGATTAGAAGCCCCTAATCACACTGCCACTAAGCCCCACTCCCTTCCAATCAAACTTCAGATTAAGATTTTAACAAGTTCTGTGGATTTAGGCAATTGATGTCTTTTGCTAATTGCTTAGCAAACATTTTATCCATTTGCCACGTCAGTTTTGGTAATTCAGTTAAAATCAATTCAAGTTCAAGTAGTGGTGTACCACAATATAAGAAAAAAATCAATTCAGTCAAGCTTGTATTACAATGATATAGTTATATGATTATATAGAATGATTTGCAAAGAATTTATCAGCTGTTACCATTATAGTTATGATAATGACTGCTTTCAGGCTAACCTACTTGTCATTTATGTTGGGGAAAAGCAGCTAGTTTGTATTTAATTGTAGACAAATTGGTGTCTGACCTTTATTGATTTGTATTTTAGGTGTGGTCACTGTAAGAGGCTAGGTCCAACTTGGAATGAACTGGCCACAGTCTACAATAAATTAGAAAATAGTCCAGTCACAATTGCCATGGTGGGTAATACAGAATATATTTATAGAATTTGAGCTATGTGGACTCTCTTAAGGTGATGCCAAGTTGACGAACCCCAATACCAAGGGAACAATATTATTATGCTATACATGTAAACTCTCTTAATGTGATGCCCTGTTGACTAACCCCAATAACGAACTGACAAAATAAGCTATGTTTACTCTTGAATGTTTTCATATTTAATGGAATCTGTATTTTTATTCTCAGGTTGATTGTACAGATGAAACACCATTATGTGCAGAACATGAAATAACAGGATATCCAACATTAAAATATTTCCATAATCCTACTGACTTTGTAAGATATAAAAGTGGCAGGGATATCCAATCTTTAAAATCATTTGTTGAAGAACAACAGCAGGTATCCAACTTTATGGTTTTTTTTTTAATTTTGACAAAAAATGCCATAACTTTGATTCATTGAACTCACACCTTATGGCAGTTCTTTTATGTATTTCAACTTCCTTTTTTTATGTTTTTTTTTTTTGCAGGCAGATCAGGAAAAACCTGAAGTCCCTGAGCCCCAAAAAGGACTGCTTGTTCTCGATGAAAAGTTTGATGAAACTATAAAGTTGGGAAATTATTTTGTCAAGTTTTATGCTCCATGGTGTGGCCATTGTAAACGTCTAGCTCCAGTGTGGGACGACTTGGCCAGATCATTTGAATTCGTAGAAGATGTGACTATAGCTAAGGTAAACTACAACATATTTTTATACACCAATTTGAGGCTTGGCAAATTTTGTTTGTCCGTCCACCCACATTTGCCTTATAAAAATATGAAAGAAACATTCCCCTTGTTTTTGTTTTTGGTAGATTGATTGTACACAGCATGGTAGTGTCTGCTCTAGTAATGCTATTAGAGGATACCCAACTTTAATCTTCTTCTCCAATGGTAAAGAGGTAAGTGTTTAATCTAAGGCTATGATTGGCTATATTTGTTAAGGTATAATCCAATAAAATTGCTGCATGTACAAATGTTTTAATACTAGAAAAGAGCCTAATGAAGTCAAGGTATTAGAAGCCATTCACAATAGCTTGACATAGTGAATTTCTCCCGTTGTTCAACAAAATATGGGTTTTGTGAAGTAAATATTGTTTTCTGCAGGTAGAGAAATATAGTGGAGGAAGAGATCATGAGAATTTAAAAAACTTTGTGGATAAAATGTTGAATAGGAAACCAGAGGAGAAGGAGCAGGAGTCAGAAGGGAAAATACCAGAAGAGGTTGAAGAAGAGGTCAGTACATGGTCACTGAAAATCTAAAAATCCAGGGTAGCTGTCTTTTCTCAGTTGACCCAGTTGTAAGGGGTAATTGGGAATGATCATTGCCAAAAAGGTTTAGCCAAGAACCTGCTATTTCATTTCTTTATTAAAGTGTGAGAGAACTAGATGTTAGATTTTATTTCCGAAAAGTGATACAGATAGCTGAAATTAAAGTTTATCGGTTGGTGAAACATGTATTTAATTTGATTATTTCTGTGTATTTTTAGCCTCCTATGGTAGAGTTAACAGATTCAACATATGAAGAAGTACAATCCTCACCATTAGCTTTCATCAAATTTTACGCACCCTGGTAAGTTTAGGTCTTTAAGGGACTTTTTTCGGGGGTTGAAAATAGTCTTCTAAATCACTAGAAATTCCTTCAGAATATGCTTTAGCATAAGACTCTTTGGGATAAGTGACTTCATCAAACACTTAGTTTTATTCTGATTGAAAATTGGAATGATGTAAATTGATGATATCAGTGTCCTCCATACACATAAAAAATTTATAAAACCTTTTAACAATCCCTTTAATAATAGACTAAAAAACTATATATATATATATATATATTTCTTTACAGGTGTGGACATTGTAGAAAGTTAGCACCAACTTGGATTGATCTTAGTAAAAAATTCTCTGAAACAGAAGAAGTAGTTATAGCTGATTTAGATTGTACACAATATGAGGAGATTTGTAAAGATAACAAGGTAATTTGACATTGTTATTTTATAATTTGTAACCATCAGATTAATACGTGCAGATGATTTGTTTCATATTTTTCTGTGGGTGACTTCTTGTGCTGTTTGTGATCTGATATAATTGTTATGAAACTTGTTTTGGTCATGACAAATATGTATGATCAGATCGGAACTTGAAGATTTAAACATCTGTTGATATTTTGTTTCAGGTAAGAGGGTATCCAACTTTACTTCTATTCCGGCATGGCATATTGGTAGAAGAATACTCAAGGTCAAGGACATTAGAAGATATGTATGATTTTGTACATGAACATATTCAGGAAAGGGACGAATTGTAAATTGTTTTTGAAAATAGGAATTACTTCAGAAATTAAGAAGAAATTATTAAGAATTCATTGGGATAAAATATTAAGAATTCATTGAGATTAAATATTAACAATTCATTGGGATAAAATATTAAGAATTCATTGAGATTAAATATTAACAATTCATTGGGATTAAATATTAACAAGTGTTATAGGAACGAAATGAGTGTCAGGACAAAGGATGCATAATACTGATCAATCAGGTGTCTGTTTCTATGTAAATATATTTACAATATTGTGTGTTTGTAAATGAATTAAAATTTGGAAGAGGTATTGGCTGTGTGAACTTACATGGAACTTCAGTATTATTCAAATTTAAACACCAGGATGGGTATCCTGAAATTATTGAACTCAATGACCCTTCGCTCAAGTGCAAATTTAATCTAAAAATTGAACAATTGTGATGTGTCTGTGTTGAAAGTGTTTGTTATAGCAAATTATGTGTTTGTGTAAATTAAATACATTACACATTTAGGTGTAGATATAAATTGTAAATGCAAATTTAAATGTTTGTGTATGTGCAAATTATATGTCTGTGTATATACAAACAACTAGTGTTTGTAAAAGAATATTATGTGTTTGTGTAAAAGCACATAATGTTTTTGTGTATGTGCTAATTTGTGTATATTTCCAAATTACATATATATATGTGTATGTGTATATACAAATTATTATTTTGTGTAATTGCAATTAAAGAGATTGTGTATGTGCAAATTCTTTTTCATGAATATAAGATATAATTAAGTTCAAAGGTCAAAAAGATTATTTCAAGGCCATTTCCTAATCATTTGAAATTGATTATTTGTTTCATTGAAATAAAATTGTTTATATTTCTTGTTAACATTTGTTTACAATTTATGCAAATAATGTAACTCTCACCCTTTGACAGCCAATTCCCTTAAACCAACGATCACACTTTGACAGCGTGTGTTATTATACCTGCTTATAAACATGGGAAGGGCTTTGAATTGTCCCCTATTATGACTTTATCTACATTTAGTCCTTACTCCATACAACAGTTCATTCAATTCAATTCAATTGTATTTACATTAGCCAATAAAGATACGAGATATTTATGTCTCTTCAAAACTTCCTAGTAGATCACGTGATTGAGGCTATCTTTTAAACTTCCTCATTTAGATATTTAGGAAATTGGCTGTGATAGAACTCATTTTTGAAGTTTAATGCATCATATTCAGTTTACAGACATTACGAAACGCGGGAATTACTTTTGGCGGGAATTGGATGCAGAAGACTTTAATTTGTCAAAGCAGACGATGTAAAAATGAAGATATTCAAGTGTTTTATATTATTACTGTTAGTGGTGGTGATTGACGTACACACGGTAAGTTATAATGTAATAATTGTAAAAAAAAAGTAACCAGGCGTGTAAAATATTAATTGAGTAATTTTTACATCGTTTCTCTCTAGTTGTCAAAATAGAGGTTTTTTTGAGTTATATTTCTGCTAGTAATCCAAAACTTTAATGTTTAAGCCATTTTAAATTGGTCATATATGAGTTTATATCATATATTATAATGCTAGTTTGGCATATTAAAATGAGAACAATGCTTTCAAACAAGAAAATATGTACCCATCGCCATTCGTCAGCCCCCAAAACAGTGATATGTCAACGTTTAAAGTTGTTATCATAAGAAATTCTAATCATAAAAAATTAGACATAAATATTTTTGTATCGAACCTATTATTATAAAACAAGCATTTAAAAATATATATATGCATATTCGCACAATGGCTATTTATGAAAAGCATATATATAGTTAAGAACTCATGTCTACAAAGAACTAATTGATAATGCATACAATACACCTCTTCGAATTCTATAGTGAACACGGATATGTCTCGGAAATATTATTATGAAAAATATTAAATATGGAATTTCCAAATACAAATTGATTTTCGGGAATTTAATGGTTTTTTTAGATATATCTTCCTATTGTTATATTGTATATGTGCCTACCATTTCAGAAAATAGATATCTTGAAAAAATAAAGGTTATTGCAACTATGTGTATCGCTGTATTTATCGTTTCGGCACGTACAGTATGTTAAATATGTTGTCTTGCTATGAATTCTTGCATAATTACGCTAAAATGACATCGGCACATCCTAACTTCATTTTTGAGAAGATTTCCTCTCAGAATAGGATAATATAGGACTGGAGAATAGAATAGAATAGAATAGAAGTCCACTATCTATGCCTAGTCATTTAACAAAAATTTGACATCTTCATCCTTACATCTTAATTAGGTTCAATAATTAATGCGTTTACGTTTGATGAATTAATTAGCTGATGACCTCTATATTTTAATCATTTCATTCACGTAATATTAATCCTGTAATAAAATCGAGTTTTGTGTCCCATTATTAATAATTTTGTACCATGTAATGAATCAAACCTTATCTTCATCGTTTTACTGTAAACATAAGACCCATCTATAAAACTTTTTTCGTTATAAAACAACGTACTATAAAACCAACCAACCAATCTAATTGTAAACTAAGACCCATTCAACTATAAAACTATGACCCAACTACCCAATCTATGAATACATTTTAAGATGAAGAATGTAATAATCAGAGAATATCATTGATAAAACACTGTATTAATATAATAATATAATATATTAATAATATAATATAATAATAGTTGGTTTAACGTTCGACTTCATTAGTAGATAGTATACTTCCTGAATCAATTATGGGTTTTTGTACTTTAACTGAGATTTTATTTTAATTCGTGCAAATATTTACTTTACCACCTGAGTGACTTGATAAGAGCTAACGTCTTAGCTTTCGCTTTCACTATTAATTTTTTTTTAACAAACTTCTTCAGTTTCTATGCAAATTTACATTCTGATGTTGTTATCCGTTTAAACCCTGATTCTCATTGTTATACGAGTGGAATAATGCCTATAATGGGGCAAACTTATCAGGATTCATCATTGGACCAGCTGTTATGCTGTTATCCGTTTAAACCCTGATTCTCATTGATATACGAGTGGAATAATGCCTATAATGGGGCAAACTTATCAGGATTGATTATTGAACCAGCTGTTATGCTGTTATCCGTGTAAACCCTGATTCTCATTGTCAAGTAATCATTTGTAGCGTCACAAGATAATACGGCATTTTGTCCACAAGAGGTAGGTAGGTAGATGACAAGTTAGGATGTTGATATCGCAAACTAGGTAGTTGTTGGTAGCCGTAGTAGTTGGTAGTTGGATTGTCCACAAGAAAAGTGACCATCAGATTAATCCTCTAAACCGAAACCAGAATATCATCATTGTAATATCATTGGTTTAAAATCTCATCTGCCAATCAGCTTCTGGCAAACTGAGTTCAAATTCAACCAGAGTGACACTGATTGGTGATAATTGGTGTAATCAAGCGACACAATCTGAACCATAGAGTCATAGTTTGTTCGGAATTACTCGTGTCTAACTGGCCAAAAATCATCCAGACTGAAATCTTCGGCTAAATGATCCCAAGTTACGCATGCCTATTTACAGCTGGGCCAATCTATATCAGCCACCACTCCATCCGTTTAGCCTACCATGAGTTTGCAAGGAACTAAAGATCTGGCAGCTTCTGTTAAAATTAAACCCTCTCCAATATTCATTAAATTTTTTCAATTTCTTTTCAGGCACAGCATTGTACGGATTCCACACCAGCAGAATGTTGCTTGTGTCCAGAAAAAACATGTGGTAGCTGTCCATCTGGTTTCTATATCATAGATCAATGGAACTTGCCTGACACAGGATGTGGTTCGGAATCGACAACTCCCTCTACCTTGAACTCAACCACATCAACCGGAGTAAACACAGCTCCGTCGACGTCAATTGGAGAAAACTCGAATTATTCATTTTGTGTGCAAAATTGTCCCGATGGTTTCTATGGAAACAATGACACTGGTGGCTGTAACAGCATCGAGACTATAGCCTATACAACATCGACCCCAACGACGGACAACCTACCAGTTATTATTGGTGGTACTTGCGGTGGCGTGGTGGTTATTGTGATCGTCATTATTGTGGTGGTTGTTATTGTATGTCGCAGAAAGCGTCATAAACAGGCAAGTCCAGGAAGAGTAAACTTAACATTGACAGCGGAAGTAAGCACCATTTTTCTTTTTTGCAAGGATCCGAGCGGGGGTTACAGGATTTGTATGTGTACTAAGGACGTTTATAGTTCCATTTGACACCTCTCTGATTTCCAATCTGACGTATGTGGTTTTTACAAAATGTTGCCCATTGGGCTAGCGTCTACCTCTGCTTTCAATGGAATCAGAAATGTGTAAAATGGAATCTAAGCGTCCTTAGTACACACAGAAGGACAGTAAACCTCCCCCGGAATCCGGTTATAGCTTCCATGGAAACCATATGGATTCAATATAGTCATTCCACGTGTCCTCTGAAAGATTATCGTGCGCCATTTTTGCCAATTGCCCTGCACCGACCGAGATTTCATCTCGAACTATTACTTTCAGGCCATCGGACGTGCACCTATAGATGTGGAACCTCTTCAACCTAGAGACGAAGAAGAAGAAGTGGGGTCGAAAAAGACCGCCACTCGCCATCCACTAGATGCTATGGACCTGCCGAACAGTATACCACAGGGCCACGACAAGGTCCTTAGGTATACCGTTGACCCAACACAGAGCATTATACTCAGAAACAATAGGGTAGGTTCTTAAATAAGAGTTGGGCCCAAAATAGTGTTGTATACGACTGACTGTACATAGGATTGGTAAACCACAACTTTGGTCTTTTGCACCATTTTTGTGCATATTGATATGTATTTCACCGTCATGGATCTGCAAATTTGTGAAAATATCTACCGATTGTGTCAGCTTAGCCCAAGCTTTGAAATCTGTATCTGGTATCTTCCTTTGTAGGACAATGAGCAGACTGCTCGTGAGCAGTCGATTCTGGACCAACTTCCTCCAGCTCCAGCAGCACCCAAACACGTAAAGTCCACACGAAGAACCAAGGTCAAGAAGCCCAAACCCAAGCCAACAACCGATGATGTGTACGAGCCGGTAGGATCGGAGAACACTGGAGCAAACGACAACAAGCAGTACGCGAAGGATGACGAGTCACTCGACGAAGAAAATTATGAGAACCAAAATGAAATTGAAAAACTGAAGTCTGTAAGGAAAAATTCCCTCCAGAGGTCTACAGATCACTCGGAAGAAGATTACGAAAATTACCTGGTCCTGAAGGATTTGAAATTTAAAACCAAACCAGAGAAACAGGAACCGGAAGTAAAACAAGAAGTGGAACTGGAACAAGGACTTGAGGATTACGAAAACGAATCGGAGATAGAAAGGTTCCGTCAACCAACAAAAAATCCTCTGGCGGATGAAAGTGTCTATGTAAATCTTTGAATTGGGTCCGGCTTATAGAAATGTGTCACCATTTTTATAGAACTGGATTATAAAAGTAACGTCTACCAATTCATGACAAACAATCGATAGTGACCAATCCTCTCCCCCTCTAACCAAAAAAAATAAAACAAAACTTAGACGTCCTTATTAGATGTTAGTTTTCTAAGGGAGGTTTTTGCAGTTTCTGTTGGACATTGGTAAGTTAGTGTGGTGCACATGAACGGGAGGTGAAATATAATGCAAAAAGCAACGAAGATTTGAAAATGCTTTGATACAGACAATGCGATGTTACGATCCCAAGCCATAAAGTGCCAAAAAGACTTCAATTTAAAAGACCTTTCACTGTATGGTATATATCGTTTGACTTGTGCTCAATAACCGTTATTATTATCTGTTATTTTTGTTGAATAGCTTTTAAATAGTTTTGTATTTTAGTTCCATTAGCCTTAGATATTGGCCCATTAGCCTTAGATATTGGCCCATTAGAATTTTATATTGGCCTATTCGTTTCGTATATCCTTTTACATGTATATCTGTTGCAATGGTTATATATATTAGCTTTATACATCTGTAACATAACTTTGTATATCCGTCCCATTAGCCTTTACATCAGTTAAATAGCCTTATACATTATGTTATAAGCTTTTTACATCTGTTACATTAGGTTATAACTTATTTTGTTACATTAGCTTTATATTTCCGTAGATAGTCATATTTGTATGTTAATTAGCTTGTATAATATGCACTATAATGTATGTTAATTATTCATATCCATACCATTAGCTTACATCTGTTATATAGCTCTGTATATCTGTTACATTAGCTTACATCTGTTATTTAGCTCTGTATATCTGTTACATTAGCTCTTACATCTGTTATATAGCTCTGTACATCTGTTATATTAGCTTACATCTGTTATTTAGCTCTGTATATCTGTTACATTAGCTTTGTTAAGGAGACAGGTCTATATTTTGATGCTACCTCTGAATTCTATGATATTATATTTGATCAGTTTGAAAAACTAATTTGTTCATTTCAAATTCATACATCATTTTGTATCCTTATTATAAGTAATGATAAATTAATTTATACTTTCATTGTGTGTATTTCATTTTAGTTTGTATATCATGGTAATTGCTAGCTATGGCTTGGAACATTTTCTGCCATTCTCTTTCCAAAATTTTCATTTCAAAACCATTGTAGTTCTGAACAGCAGTGGTGCAATATCAATAAGCTCAACAACTAATGGGACTATTGCCCAAGATCAAAAATGTCTCAGCATATATTTGACTTGTAGCTAATATACACCATCTTCCAGCAACCCGGCTGGTGTCACATTTGGTGTGTCAGTCTCACTGTCTATATCACTCTTTATGAGTTGAACTCTCTATGGGCCTCTTATATTATATTGCTCCTTATGAGTTGGACCAGGGGATTAAAAATAAACAACCTCTCTATCAGTCTCATATATTATATTAATCTTGATAAATACAATTACATACTAATATATACAACACAACAAGCATTATTAACAATATATTCCCCTGCGTTTCATATTTAACACCCCTGGGCCCTTAACCATGGATTAGGGGTGAGTGTGTGCTTTAAAAAGATTACAATTTCGAATCTTCATTACCCAGTGTTCCTAGGTCAATTTTGCTTCTTACTTTTTTTCAATTTAGCTAATTGCTCCATTATTCTTAAGCTAAGATTAAACATAGATGACAAAGAAAGTGGGATAGGTCAGTCTTAAAGGGAAAGTAGACAGGTTTTTCAAAACTATTTATGTGCAGCGAGGACACAGATGTTTGACTTATAACTGGAATGGTGTCTTCCATACACAGGAAAAAATAGATTAGAAAACATCTTAAAAATCTACTTTGTTAATCATCTGAATCTCTGTTCTTGAATTATTGTCTTTAAGCTTGAGTACTTCAGTCATTTCCTTACTAACATTGTCAATTCTGATTCATTTACAACCCCAGTTTATAATCATGCAGGGAAATACTTAGAGAGATAGTATTCTTTAAAGTGTTTGTTCATGACATTTTAGACCTTGAAAGATATTGCACAAGATAGCATTGGTCTTAAAGATAGCGTTAGTTACATGTAGATATAGTTGAAATCATTTGGTTAATTTAGTCATGTTTAGGGCTTATATTAAAGAGACTTTGAGGATTGTATTAAATGGAAATTAAAGGGATTAAAAAAGTATCAAAGGCCCCCCTACTTTCAAATTTTAACATAGTGATAGAATGTCCTGTGGCCCCTTTGTAAATTTTGGTGGGTTCTACTCGGCCCTCTCACCTAATGTTTCCTAGAAGCCACTCAGCTTCAGATCAATAACTTAAAATGATTTCATCTTGCTGGTCTTCACTATACATGTAATGGTTTAATTATCAACATTATAACCAACAAATATGATTTTGGAGATAAACAACAGAATATTCATATTTTGACCCAAATTGCTTATTTTATTATTATTTAATAATGTCTCTTTCTGTCAATGTTAAAGATAAGTTATTAATGAAATAAGTTGGCCCTAAAACTGACCACACAAGCCCCTATTCCATTCATTTTTAGGACCCTGTACACCCTTTACAGATTCCAGAAGTTTCATACATATTGCTAAAATAAAACAGAACTTTCAAAATTGGCCCCTACTTAAAACAATCAAATACCTCGTATTCATTATAATATCTTAACTAACAACTTTTTAGACAAGGTGAGGCCCACAATATCAGTGTGTTTTTAAACAATCATTGTAAAATTACAAGTGAGATTGCGTTATCAGCCATTTAGTCAGGAAACAAATAAAATTGTCAAACAACAATATATTACACATCAGGCAAGAATATTAATTCATTTTTTGGCTAAATATTAGCATTATATAAGCAAATATTAGTTTTTTTTTGGACAAAACATGTTTGTAAGGTATTGAAATCCTTCTTAAAAACTTTATGATATGTGGAGTAGCAATCCTCCAGTGTCTTTTAAGCCAAAACAAACTTATTCCAGATTAGATTTTCTACTACATGATTGGACAAAATTTACTCTCCAGATTATTTCTGCCAATCACATTTAAAATATTTTGATCCATGATCTAATTAAAGAGAATATTATCTGGGTCTTGATTCTGAATATGAGCTACATGGCGTAAAACATCTTTTTTGGTGATGATGCCTAGCAAGCGTCCATTATGAGTAACAAGGGTTTGACGAAGACCTAACTTTCGGAACATTTCCACCACTGTTTCCATGGGAGTGTGGTCAGTGATAGTAATGGGGGCTAGATCTAAAATTTTCCTCAACTTGAGACTTTGGGGGCCGTTTAAATTGGGGGTACTTTGATTTATAAATACTACCAGAGAATTGCTCACTATTCCCTCTTGGTTTTTTAACGCATTGGTGATTGCTAAGTTCAAGTCTCTACGTAACACAAAACCAACCAAATATTGAGATTCTGGAGAAACAACCACGGGAAAACCATTATGCTCTGTCGATTTTAATATGCTTTCTATTTCGTCTATTGTCATGGAATCTTGCGTTAGCACACTCAGCGGAGGATCATTGCGAACTTCTAACCCGTAGCGCCAACATCTCGGTCGCATGACATCAGCTGCTATAGTTGTATGAGTGAATTCCTCTTTACTGTCCAAATAAGGATAACCATTCAAACCAATATGAGCATCATAAATTCCCTCACGACCTAACGCATCACCGATCCATTTGCTGGTCATGGCAGCCACCATCATGGGCACAATAAATTGAATTCCTCCGGTCAGTTCGAACATTATGACAACTAAGGACACAGTCATTCTGGTGACTCCTCCAAGAGCTGCAGCGGCGCCAACCATCGCGTAAATTCCTGGAGTTACCGTGCAAGTCTGTTGAGATTGACACATGTTGGAAAATAATGGAGAGTTTGGGTACAGAACTACCAATTGTTCCACACCGATTCCAACCATACGCCCCATTATGGCGCCGACGGTCATGCTAGGAATGAAAAGTCCACACGGTACTTTAATACCAAAGGTGAAAATAGTAATAAGAGCTTTGAAGAGCAAAGCAAGCATCAATTTCCAAAGTGCTCTTTTGACTCCGTCACCAATGGTAACGCTTTCTGTATAGGGATAGGGATTAGTGAAATTGCGTTTGTAATCACAAAGGTCTGTATTGTCCTCTGGGCCACATCTTTGTACCAATAATCGGATGAGTTCGCTACCATTCATTCGTGTGTAATCATTGGGAAAACTCAATAGAGCAGTGATGAACACAACGATCAGCACTTCAATAATGGGGTATTTTCCCAGAGAACTGGTCTTCCTGTATTTGCACCATTTAATGTTGAATTTGATGAAGAAGCTTCCATAAAGTCCTCCAAGAAGTCCCAGGAATATAAACGGAATCAGTTCCTGAATGTACCACGGTTCATTATAGTCTATATAAAACATTACAAGATGATCATTTCCAAAAGGATTGATGGAACGCAGCACAAACGCTGCCATAAGAGCACAGAAGAAGGATCTCCACAGTGTCTTCAAAGGGAAATAATAACTCACTTCCTCCAAACTGAAAAGAACTCCTCCAATTGGTGCTCCAAACGCCACACTCACACCGGCAGCAGAGGCAGCTGATAATATTTCACGCTTTTTAGCTTCATTCCTTCCATATTTGGGAAACAGATAAGAGAATATGTTTCCACAACAGCAAGCAACATGTACAAATGGACCTTCTTTACCAAGACTAAGTCCAGCAGCAACAGCAAGCATCATGCCAACAGATTTCACCAAGAGTGTCCATTTTCCGAGGTAGCCTCGAATGATGAAGCCACTTAATATAGTTTTAATTTCAGGGATACCAGAACCACAGGCATATGGAGCAAACACACGGACAAAGAGTGCAGCAATGGAGCCGAAAATCAAAGCCCAAACAATATAGAGTAGGTATTTCACTATGTAAGCTCCACCTTCAGATGATTGTACCCCGAACAGCTTGGCCCACGAGTACCACTGATTACAACCACCATCTTCATCAAAAGTTGTGGCATTTCCAGACCAGCAACATTGTTCCCTGTTCAACCAAAAGGCTTCTAAACATATCCCTTCTTTTAAATCCGACATCCATGAGGTACCAATGTCAATAATACCGGCACAAACGCCTGCAGCGACGCCCACAAATAAAACACATACCCAACCAGACCATGCATCATGGGCACTCTTAACTTTGTTAAAACATCCATCTTGTCGTTTTTTAACAATATGACGATGTCGCATGCGATCTCTGGCAATATCTCGCAGCCAGTCAATTGTATGGAAATCCTCATAATGTCCACTTCCAACTGGCAGTTCATCTAAAGTGTCTGTCAGATTAGACTGGCTGTTTCCTATTTCCTCATGTAATCCCTGATCATCTCTACCGTCCATGACGATATCTAGCATAGCATCGTCATCAGATCCGCTGCCTGCTTGAGTTTCCCGACGATTTCTGGCTTCTCCGTTAGTCTGAATGCTGTTTAGTCGAGTACCTTGACCGATATGATAAACTGACCCGTTTTGACTCGTCCTGGATTCAGCGGATTCCATATAATTATCATCCACAAGCAGTGCGTCTGTTTCTAAATTAAAATCAGCCATTTAGGTACATTATCACGGACCGATGTCTAGGTCCTTTGGATTCGTGACTTTGAATTTAATCAACCTAATTGAGAATGTGTCAGTTATATATTTTTATATTTAGATATTGTATTAATTGTCAGATGACATCGCGTATTTATAATGACATCCGGGCACCTGTGAACCGGATATTAATTGGAACGCCCACTTTTATGTAAGTTTTGCCTTAATATGTTTGTGGACTTATAAAAATAATTTTTGGGGTAAGTCTACGATGAAATATCGTGTTTGATAATTTTTGAATTTCATTCTGATTAAGATTCAAATATATTTTGTTAGATAGTTGTTTAAAAGCAAGTGTATCATTTAGACAAAAAAATCCCCAAAATCTAGAATCTTGTTTTACATTCAAGCAACTCTTCAATTCGGAGGCTAAAAATGTCCTTCATTGATTTTTCGATTGAATAACAACAAAGCATGTACTTTTTATTTTAAATCAAACTTTTTAACACAAAATAAGGCCAGAGCGGTTGTCAAATGGTCACCATTTTATTTAGAAATACAGTTTCTGTCCCCACAAGCAATGTCATATGTGCACCCATGCTAAATCCTTGCATAAGGCCTGAACATAAAGTATTACCCCTACTTGTCTATGGCTACATTAAGGCAATAATGCGCCGCGCCAGTGTTATGTAATGATGGTCCACGCCACCGTCACTAATTATGGTAGGGGCAGGGGAATATTCCTATGCATGCTATGCTATGATGTGACTATACATTCACATGGGCAATAATTTTCAGCATCAGTAACAATCCTTTAATATCCCTTACTTATTTTTCAGACTGCATCTATGACCCATGTGTATGCTACAAAGTTTTGGGATAATGTTAGATAAAGAAAGGTGTTAGAGAATGGCTGAAGATAAACCTGAAATAAAAAGGTATGTACATAGATAATTGCCAAGTAATTGTGCCAACACCAAAAGATATAGGCCTATGTGCACTCAAGGTGGAGAGAGCAAATGCCAGACCACTATAATGGGTAGTAAAATGAGTTTACTATATCATTATGGTTAAGATGTAATTTTCAATAAGTCATCTTTCCCAAGGACCAGCTAGTAGACAGGATCTTTGAGTACCTAATAGTTAAGGTAGGAGAACCACATCAAATATGACAGATGTTACATAAAAAACACACATGTATACACAGTCATATTGCATCATTGCTCTGTTATAAGTATGTTAATTTCCATCTTGCTTTACTAATTCAGGTCAGGCCGAGGAATCAAAAGATCAAATAAATATCAGAATGATTCTGAAGAAGAATCTAAAAGTAAGAAACCAAGAAGAGCTTGTGAAAGATCTGGGTGTCCAGCTAAAGTGCCCATCTGTTTTGCTCGAGCTACTGAAAGGTAAGCTTACCCTTTCCGTTTTTTCCTTCACAATGTCTTTGCTAACATAGGCTTAGACCTTGGGTGCAAAAGGGTTTCTGAAATGATCATATTTGCCAGCCATGTATGACTGAGCTCTTTATTGAAATTAAATGTCAAAATACAAATTAGTATATTTTTGTAGATGTGCTGGCAGCTCGTGGACGTCTAGATGGTATCATATTTCACAAGGAGAACATTTCTGTAATGAATGTTTTGACTTTTACTACAGAAGGTAAGCTGAATTCTTTAGGAGTCAGTCTGTTATTTAATCCTTAGGCAATCCAACTTAAGTCTGGTAACCTTAGGTGTTACTTATCTCATGCTATTTTCCTTAACACTGATTGCAAATAAACTAGTTGCGAATCTAAAATTTACTAGGAAATGTTGATTTGCTCATTGGTTCATGGGTTAGAGACGTAAACTGATTCAAATCCCTGACTCTAATTCAATGGTTTTTTTCACAGTCATAAAGATGGTTATGCCAAGTTTGCAGAATGGAAAAGAAAATGGTCTACTCATGGTAAAAATGACCCCAAATTGATGCTGTTTTTCTCCGATCAGATGCTACCTTATTGGTGCCAATGTACAACGAAAACATGTGGAAAATGGCGCCAACTGTCGAAAGAATGTCAGTTCACATCGGAATTAGTGGCCAGATTTAAATGTGGTATGACCTCTACAGGTGTAAAGGTAAGTTTCCTCAAATTTTTCAACTCTCTTGTTGACATACATACAAACCAACCTTAAAACATTCCTTCCAAAATAGGAATTGTAAAACACCAAGGTGATCCATATTTTTTTCACCATTTTTTTTATTCAAAAATTGTCGCATAATTATATTTTGACTTTATTTTATTTTGTAGAAAGAGAATCAAACAACAGCTTGTAGTATAGCAGAAGATGCAGTGAGTATTGTTTCTGTGTTGACTCAAATACCTTCTCTCATCTGTAAAACACAAATTTACAGGTTTTTGTGGACATTGGGCAAATTATTATTAAATTCTGTGGTACCTGTTAAAAAAGTCCAATACTCTTTTTAATCTTTAAGAAATAAAACTCTGAATGATTTTGTTCATCTTTTTTTTTTAGAGAGTTGAAGCAACACAATATAGAAGATGGTATTCTCAAGTGACCTCAGCACCCTGTTTATATTCCAGTCCTTCAGCACCCTTCCTGACAGGCTATTATCCGGATGGTGTAGGACTTAGTGTATCTGATGACAGTGTTCGAGAGGTTCAACCAAATCCTTTAGGTGAGCTTTCTTCAGTTAGCATTTCCTTCAGTGGCAATAATCCCAAGGATTCACTGTATCATACCTATTCACACCTAGACTTTCATTACTAGTTTGATACTTATATTCAAATACCATTTCGGTTCATTTCAGAAAAATATCCTGGTGGTTTAATCCAACCATTTACTAAAGATGAACAGACACTAACAGCCCTGAGTTTTCATCCTGATTTAATAGAAACAGATGAACAGCTTACCTTCTCTCATCTAACCTCTGAAAACCCAATGCTGTACCTAGCTCTTCGAAATCTTATTATGTCTTTATGGGCTTTGGATTTGACAGTAAGTTTCTTTGGAGAAGTTTTTGAGAAAGGCAGTCATTTATAAAGGATTATTAAGAGATTTTCTTTGTCTAAAGGAGATACTAATGTTTCTGTGTATGTTTTTTGGGAATTTTTGAGAAATTCTGTCACTGCTTACATTGGTATTTAAATGATTGTTAAGAGGTTTTCTAGACTTTTTATTTGTATCAGGAAACACATGGCATCAATCCAATTTTGAGTTAGTGAAATGGTAAAATGCTACAGTTCGACTATATGATAGTATCACTATACAGAGGCTACAATATGTTACATGGTCTATTTCAGCAATGGTTAACTAAAGAAAAATGTAGAAATAATTTGATATGTAGGGGATTAACTAGGATACGATTAGTAGATGATATAGAACCAATGTTACAATATTTAACTAGTAAAAGCTATATTAACACTGGATTGTTATCTATACCAACTGAATTACACATACAAGACTGTCAGGTAAGTTGATGTATAGAGGGTTAACTGGCTTGGCGGACATCTGGTTTGTCTGCAATTTAATCAGTGACATTTGTGGAGCATTTTTCAGGTGTCTGTCCAACAGGACTTGATCCTTTGTCAAATTCGAGTTGTCTACCTTTAAGCAAGTCAAGATTTTATTCCCATGGTTTGTTATGTTAAGCTCATGTGGATAGCTGAACTTGAGTTCTATCTTCTGAGAAAGTGGTTGAATATATGCCATTGATATTTACAGCAAGAAGTATTAGTTATTGGTGGAGGTATAAGTGGTATAACATCGGCCAGATTTTTGAAACAAATGGGTATCAAGGTAAAGAAGCTTGGAAGAGATTGTGTATTTTAGCTTCTGTAATTATAGAAATGCTTCACCATATATGACGTTACTATCACTAAAGGCATCTAGAAATGCATTAGACCATCTTGGTTTTAGAAACGCTAGCCCTCCAATCATCTTACTGTTTTGTTTTTGGCAGGTGAAGGTTTTAGAAGCATCAGATTGTATAGGAGGTAGAATCAAAGATAGTAAGAAATTTGGACAATGTGTTGGTAGTGGAGCTCAGCTGTTAATTGGTCATATAAATAATCCCATTTCTATTATTTCACATCAAGTAAGTATTTTAGTTTTCATGTCTGTGTTATATAGCTCTTATCAGAATCAAAATCTGACATGTGGTTCTCTTGCAAATTCTCAGAAGAAAGGCCAGGAACAGTTGGTAGATGGGATCCTCATGAAGCTATCTTTAGGATAGAAAAATCTGATATGGTGTACTATTTATTTACAGGCTGGTCTTGAAAATAAAATAGTAAAGGAACACTGTAGTCTAATGAGTTGTACAGGAGATATTATAGATCCTCAAGTTGATAGGAGAATAGATTTCCATTTTAACGCCATGCTAGATGTCATAGCAGAGTGGAGGCAGGGTAAAGGAGCCAAAAGTGATGTCAATTTATTGGGTAAGTTGTCCCTTTCATTTGGGTGAGGAATATATGTGTATTGTAGCTGCACCAAGGTTAATCACAGTTTTACCTGTTAGTTTTAGTTAAATTCTTTTTTATCTTGAGTTTTGTTCCCATTTGCTTGAAATTTTTCATGAAAGATTTTGACAGTTTGTATTTTAAAAAGGTATTTCATTTTTAATGAGTCTTCCCATATCTTCCTCATTTATTTGTGAACTTATGGATTATGAATTGGATTGTTGAATGTAAGTTTTCTCCTTTTAAACAGATCATAAACTGTCTGCTCTTTTTTCAGATAAATTTTATGAAATGCATAAACAGTTTAAAGAAGAATCTCAACTCCCTTTTACAGAGGTAGAAAATATTCCTATTACTATTAACTTGTATAGAGATATAGCCCTTTTGATATAGGTCTTACCCCACAATTTATTGGGAGTTACCTGCATGTGAGAAAGTTAGCAACATTCAGATGTAACAAACTATGTGTGAGACTTTGATTCTGGAAAGGGTTACAGAATTGTTTTTATGCCTGTATGCAATACTTTGTCTATTTAAGTGTGCCTAACTTCATGTTGTTTTTATGTTTTTGCTATTTGATGCTGTGCTTGTGTTTAAGATGTTACTCTCTGTGTGTTGTTATTTGTTATTCTAGCTTGTTATTTGTTATTCTAGCTTGTTATTTGTTATTTTAGCTTGTTATTTTAGTTTGTTATTAACCTAGAATCATTAACTTTAGTTTTTTCCCAAGGAGGAAGAAAAGATCTTACAGTTTCATCTTAGTAATTTAGAGTATGCTTGTGGTGCCAGTTTGTCAAGGGTGTCCACATTAAATTGGGACCACAACGAATCCCAACCACAATTTACTGGTGATGTGGTCATACTTAAAGATGGTTATTCCAAGATTTTAGAAAAATTGAGTGAAAATTTAGACATACAGTACAATACTCAGGTAAGTCGTATTTCTGCAAGTTCTGATCTTCGCTCATCGTATGCTGTTGTCATGTGTTTTAGGTATGCAATCCTTATCAGGACAGCTGGATTTGGAAGCTTACCAAATTCTGTTGCAGAAGGTCTTTCAAATTCAGTAAACAGTGAGACCACATTTTGAAATGAAATGATTTCTGAAGGTGTTTATTTTATTTTTGAAGGTTTGTGGTATAGATTATTCCAGTGAATCTATAAAAGTCACAACTAATACTAGTTCTTTCACAGCACATAAGGTAAGGTTCTTAGTAATTTTATAGCTAGAGTAATCTGTCCTTACACAATCCTTAGACTTGATATATGGATGGGGCATTGATGAGTCCATCAAGACATTGTCTGATATTCTACAGTATCCCTTTGCCCCAGACAGGGTACCACATTGAGGGCTGGGCTTAACTTTAGGTACCCTTTCACTTCCAAGACGACATCAATATAAGAACTTTCTATGACTCTTTTTCAGGTGCTAGTTACAGTTCCGCTAGGTATATTACAGAAACAATGTATACAATTCACTCCTTCTTTATCAGAGAGGAAAACTAAGGCCATTAACTCTCTTGGTGCTGGTTCTCTAGAAAAAGTAAGTTCGTTTAATACATAATTTGAGCTAATGTCTATATATAGTTGATATGAGCCTACACATGTTTTGGATACACAATCCTCATCAGGACAGTCTCGGAAATGGTGGTGACCTTCAAATATTATGAATTTATTTTACTTGAGCAAAGTAATCCAATGTATAGAGGTTCTCTCTGAATTTGAAACTGGTTGAAATCTAAAAAACAAATGACCAATGTAGTTGCTCTAGAAAACTTTCCCTTATTGCACACTGCATAGTGTTGCCTGTCATCTTTAACCCTTTGATTGATAAAGAATCATTTTGTATCCAATAACAATGAAGGCATATTAGAATGTTTATTTATGTTATGCATCAGTAACAAAGCTAAATAAAGTTTACAATATTTTATGGCCACTAATGCCTTTCTTTTGTCTGATCTGAAACACATAATACAGATTATTTGATAGTCAGTATTGTTCATTGTTTGTAAAGGTCTATATTATATAAACATAACATGGTTCAAAGATGTCACGTTCTACAAAGAAATAATCTCGCATAAAATGGCGTTTTTGGATTTTTATTTCAATTTGATTTTATTGAAGTTGACAGGTGATAGAACACATGTTGATGTTTTTCTGAACTAAGAGACCTGATATGAGGGCATTGACCTATTTTTTGATATTCATATACCAAATAAGTCAACTCTTATGAAACCTTCAAAAAAATACAGTGAAAGTTTGAGTAATTACCATAGAGTTCAAATGGGAATTGTGTTGACAGTTAAAAACGAGGACAGTCTAAATAACATGTTGTGTTTTTATTGAATTGCAAGGGAAATTGAAGTAGGATTTACATTCTGATAAGTGATACACATAACTCAGTTGAGCTTGAGCCCTTTTACCAATCTAAACTTATACCATCACCAAAAAGTTTTACTTTAATTTGTTTAAAAAAAAATGCATAAATGTATTATCTTGTCTGAAAACACCAACAATGACTTAACAAAACAAATGGTGACAAAATAAACTTTAAACATAGAAAATATCAGCTTAGTTGTCGCCAATTGTTTCACAATACAAGTATGAGTCTTATTTCATTTCATTCTTTATCATGTTACATGAAAGCCTTGCTTTGTTACAGTCCTACACTTCAACCATAAAAAATGTAGCTTTTTGTATATTTAATCCTATTGTATCAAATGACAATAAATGTTTTAAATTACTTGGATTATCATCTGGATTATCATGGATTATCAACATAATCATATCAGACAAAACCATCTTGAGTCTGACTTTGACAAAATGAAATTTTTTGCAGGTTTGTCTTCAATTTGATAAGAAGTTTTGGAAGAGTAAAACTGATGGAGATGATTTTTTTGGCCATGTACCTGTCAGCGAGAGCCAGCGTGGACTTTTTAATGTATTCTATGACCTTTCTACCTCAGTAAGTATTAATGCCACCCATTTCTACCTCAGTAAGTATTAATGCCACCTATTTCTACCTCAGTAAGTATTAAGCCGTGCCCACTTCTACCTCAGTAACTTTTAAGCCCTGCCCACTTATACCTCAGTAAGTTTTAAGCCCTGCCCACTTATACCTCAGTAAGTATTAATGCCACCTATTTCTACCTCAGTAAGTATTAATGCCACCTGTTTCTACCTCAGTAAGTATTAATGCCACCTATTTCTACCTCAGTAAGTATTAAACCCCACCTATTTCTACGTCAGTAACACACCCACTTGTTATGTATATTTTAGGAAAATGAAAGTGGTATTTTAGTGACTAATATATCTGGTAACGCCTTGAAACTCATGCAAGATAAAAGTGATAAAGAAATTATGGAGATGTGTTTAAAAACTTTACGCTCCTTATTTCCACAAGAGGTAATATAGTTCATTATTTAATCCTTTGAACATTGAGTGTAAATAAATATAAATAAATTTAAACTTCATATATATGTACCCTGAATTCACAGTAACGAATATATCTTAAAGGGATTGCGGATTCACTGGTTTTAACAGAAATATATCCCTTTCATATAATTTGAAAAAAAAAATGATTAAAAATTCACTCTTTTCAGACTGTCCCAGAACCAAGAAATTTTCTAGTGACACATTGGTCTGATGATCCCCATATTGGCATGGCGTATAGCTATATGCCTATAGGTTGTGATGGATCTATATATGATATTCTAGCTGAGGAACTGGATGATAGGGTCTACTTCGCTGGCGAGGTTAGCTGCTTATTTCATATCTTAATATACTGGAGCCTGTTTCTTCAAAACTTGGAAAGAAAGACCAAGAGAAATAATAATGCATTCTAATTCCCTTCTCTTTATTCTTAATTACTCATATATATAAAATATAAATTAACAAATAAGTGTCATATTTTCATTTTATTTTCAACATTCTTTTGCAGGCCACCAACAGACAATTTCCACAGTCTGTGACAGGAGCATATTTATCAGGTATTCGTGAAGCCTCCAAAATCATCTCCAATATCAAAGCAGGCCTTTCTCAAAATAATTCTTGATGAAAGCTTGTGTTTAAATGAACAGAATATTAGGTAACTGTGATCAAATTTGAATGAAATAAATTTATCTTATTGACATTGATAGCTATGTGGACTCTCTAAAAGTGGACAAATGTGGAATATTCATTGTGTGTTTCAGATTTACTTTGGACTTGAAGCATTAAGGGTATCTTTTGACACAGTTTATGTTTGTTTTTTTGAGTTACTTGTTTACATTGCCATCTGTGAAATATTGATCAGGGGTATAGTCCTCATCCTAAATATATGAAAATGTTTATATTCATATTCTGAATTTTCATGAAATCTTTGTTAAGGGTGTCAGCATATTTGAAATTCATGAAACTGCAGGTTACAGGTTTCATTTGTAGTTTTGAAAAGGGATACAAATAGCTGAAATTGAGCTTTATCAGTAGGTAAAGTTCACCATTTTCGAGTGGTACATTTCAACAGAGTTTGGTGATTCATTCCCTTTAATAGTAGAATTAATTTTGATTCATAGTGCAAAAAAAAAAGCTGAGCTTTGTGAATGGAAGAAATATTATTTACTCTGTGCAAACAAGTGATTATAAAGATTTTCATATTTTTGCATTTATAGAACACTTGATATACATATTCATTTTGTTATATTGTGTATATATTTGATATATCATAAGGATAAAATTATAGAACATATTATTTGTAGTTGCTTATAATCTTACAATAGCATACTGTTATATACTGTATAATTGTGAATACAAAACGCACCCTTTCCTTTCATCAGCTATTTAATATTGATAGAAATAGATAGCTTTAGTGTTTGTGAATATAAGGCGCATGTTTATATAATGTGCACACCTTTTTACCCAACAGTAAAATGTTAACTGTTTTAATCCAGATTCAATTCAAGCTTATTGTGAACACTAGAAAAAATAACTCTCGTCAAATATCAAAGGAAAAATACGATTCTGCTAGGTTCAAAATGGGGCTGATCTGGGTGAAACAACTTGAGATACATAATACCCTTTATGTAAACACTACAAATACAAATTAATCAAAACCCAGCTAGTGCCCCTTACTTTAAACACTTTAAAATATATATTTCTAAAGATATTACATGTATTCGTAACCAAGTACTTGCACGAGGCTCATTTAGAGTCTTAGAAATCACTTGCAGTGTCCTTGACCTCTCACTTGAACTTTAGGGAGTGTTACAAAGAAACTGAAGTACTTATCTTCAAACCAGTATATATTTAAATATAACTGACCAAATTTATGCAGATCCTTTACATAAATTCAAAATATACTCCTTGAAAGCTGTGCATATACAAGTTTTTTTTGCTGCCTCCTTTAAGGCACATGAAAAAAATACTAATTTGTAACCAAATTACTGAAAATAGTCACGGCAAACTAACAATTGTAAGTATGTCTTTAAATAAACTTGTTATAGCGCACTTAAGGAAATGGTTATATACTTAAATTCTTCCTGAGCACCCACTTGAGTGTTGATCACCTCTCTTGCATTTTGAAACTATTCATGGATATTCAAAGCAACGAAAAGATTATCAATGAAATTATATCGTACTACATTCAACACTTTTAAGAATCCAAATCATCGTGTAGTTTGTCTACAATTAAAACATAAAACTCTCCATTAGGGCATACATCCTCTCATTATGATATAACAGTAATGAAATCCGAGGAACTACATAACGGAAGACCTACCAAAATTAAATATCCGGATGAAATTTCTCCAAATCATATTCATGCTGATACTTCTGAAGATGTTCTTTGAATTCCTTGTGCTGTTTCTCCAGATTTTTTGGCATTACATTGTATACATCAGTGAACATCTCCGTTGGATTGCAATACTTCCGTTCTTGAGCACCACGAAGAGCATCTTCCACGTCCCTTATTACACTCTGTTTGAAGGTTTCTTCGCGTTCCTCGTCCCAAATATCGTTATCCAAAAGATACTTTTTAAATCGAGTAATGGGGTTGAATCTGGTATCCCAGGTAGAGACGTCATCAGCATGGCGATATCCGCTACTGTCCACAAGAGTACTGTGATCTCCCACGCGGTACGTCATGGCTTCTATTAAAACCGGACGACTTTCAGACACACAGATTTCCCGAGCTACTTTAGTCACGTTGTACACTGCTAGGACGTCGTTTCCATCCACGCGGATGCTTGGGATTCCGTAACCAGCTCCACGTGAGGCAACTCCGTCACCGCTATATTGCTCCGAGGCCGGAGTTGAAATGGCAAAGCCGTTGTTCCTACAGAAGAAGATCACCGGACACTTTAAAACCGCGGCAAAATTGAAGGCAGCGTGGGCATCACCTTCTGACGTTGTCCCTTCTCCAAAATAGCATACAACACAATTCTCACTTTTGGACATTTTCATTGCATAAGCCGCGCCTGCTGCTTGTGGCATCTGGGTGGCCAATGTCGATGAGATAGTCATAAAATTGTGCTCTTTGGATCCATAGTGAACAGGCATCTGTCGTCCTTTAGTTCCATCCAGATCATTGTTGAAGCACTGATTTGCAAAGTCTTCAAGACGGAATCCTCGCCATAACAACACACCAGTCTCACGATATTGTCCAAAAACAAAATCTTCAAACTTTACAGCTGAAGCCGAACCGATTTGGGTGGCTTCTTCTCCAAAATTCGTCAAATAGAACGGAATCAATCCTTGGCGTTCGGCAACGTTAAGGGCTGTGTCCATAATGTTTAACGTCACCATTTGGTGGTACATTTCCAACAGCTCCGTTTTGTCTAAGCTTGGTGGACTTGCTCCCTGGAGAAGATGGCCGTTCCTTGCTAACACTCTGTAAACGGGAATTCGGGGGTTTTCGTCAGGATTCAGAAATTTCAGTTCGGTAGTTTTGGGCAATTTACCACCTGGAAAGTGGATTGGTTGGTCTGAATCTCGTTTATCAGAACTTGCGCCTGATGCGCATGCTTTTGGGATTTCGGTTTTGGACGCCTCGGCTTCGGTAGATTTGAATCGCCATAATTTCAATCCAGGTATTGACTTGGTTTCTTTTCTTCCGAAGATTACACAGTTCCTCAATTTACAGAGAAACATCTTACAATTTCCAATATGAAGTCCTTTTGCAATTATAACTACAACATGTAAAATTGTTGGTTTTTTAATCCGTCGTGGATTCACGTCTGTTCCGTTTATGTTATTTCAAAGTCCAGATGTTCCAATGATACACGAACATATCCCATCACTTCAGATCTCTAAAAATCCAACATTGTTTTCACAAAATAGTCCAATGATGCCCCAAATTTCAAGTAAAGCTGAAAGAGGCTGTTTTGAATATGGCTGTATGTCCTACAAATGCTACATACATATAAGAAATGTTTCACCTACTACATTAGTATTTCACTTCTTAAAGGCTCTGTCTATTTGTCACACTCAATTACTTGCCGTTAAAGAATGGCTTCGATTGACACACAGCTGTCAATCCGAAACCCTTTTAACTAGGCACGGTGTTGGAACATAATTTATAAGGCATATTCCTTATAAATCTGTCAAATTATGATGAATTGTTTTGTTCTATTGTGTAAACGTTTTCGTTTATTAACATTCTCCTTTATGTTCTACTTATAATTAATCATAAGGGCAATCCAGGTGCTTGTTCTGGATGAACTTGTGCTTGTGTGTAGTAAAGCAGGCAAGGACGAGGAGAGGGGTGTTGTTGAGGTGTTCTTTTTGTTTTCAGCACTTGAACTTAATTTCAGCTCAAAATGAGAATCTGGTGTTCGGTTTGTCTACAATTAAATAATAGTTCGTGGACGTTGAAAGTCAATGTTTTTCAGTCCGTTATTAAGATTAATTTCTAACCACTTTTCAAATGATAATCTAGTATTTGTTTGTCTACAATGCAATATTAGTTCGCGGACGTGGACAGTCATTATTTTCAGTCCGTTATCAAGATTATCTCTTGCAGTTATATTAATAAATATTAATAAAATTCTTGAAAAATATCTCATATTCAGATTGACGTATTTTATTATGACATTAATAACCCTGAACTCGTCTGTAGTAATTGAGCCCTAGGCAAATTTGCTTAACAATTTAAGATTTTGTGAATTGATTTGTGAATTGCCATTCTTTATAAAGAAAATCCATGTTGTTGAACTCCCAAATGCATGTTATTTGTATAGCCTCATTATTCAGCTTTTTAAATACCACCCTTTCAAGGTGAATATTTTGATTTTGATATTTATTGTCACTCAATAATATAACATTATGTCACTCTCAAATGTGCCTTATACTTTCATGATAGATATTAGTGTGTTCTTTTCTTATTTGTGTTTTAATGACACTTTGTTTGGCTCAAGGCAGATGGGAAAGGAATGCTAACCCCTTCTGGAACTATTGTGCTTCCTCTGGTCTTTCCTTTTGGAGTTTCAATGAATCCTAGGGTCGGGGTGCCAAGCAGGTGCCACAGAATTTTCAAAGGGGCGCAGACAAATCTTTCCCCTATGTAAAATGATGCAGAAAATTTTATTGGGGCAGCCATTGCCAGGCCAGCTTTATTTCTGGAGGGTTATGGTGGAGACAGATACATATCTGACACCTGTCACTTCTGATGAAATCTTTTATAAACACTACACACACATTACAATATTATTTATTCTTTAATCCAAAATCAAATCAGCATCAGATAACTACAGAAATATGCTGGAAACTATTACAAAATATGGTCTAAGGGGGATAACTTCATTTAATCAAATCATTTCCAAACAACAGTTAAATAGTTATAACGCGGAATATTACAAAAATTTAATTCTGAAACCTGTAATTCATTATCCTCTCTGCTAATATCATTTTATATATATAGGAATTGACATGTACAATTGTTTTATTATATGTTTTGAAGAGTGGTGTGTGCATAGTATATGAGGAATTTAACACAAATACAATATAGTTATTATTATACTCTTACCTTCAATTTTACTTACTATCATGTGGACTTGAACTCGCATAGCTGGACGACGATGGCGGACGAACGCGTTTATCGATTGAGCCACCGCACTTGACTGAATACTGCTTGTCGACTTTAAGATTATATGATTTAATTTTGTAGAAGAAGAGATTAGAAAAATCGTACTGGTTGTTCCAAGGGACTGGATATCATAGTCTACTCGGGCTAGGTCAATTGGTGAACTATGCGCACGTGCTTTTCGCAATAGCTTAGTGGTTAAAGTGTTGATCTCTTTTGTCTATATTATAGTGGTGGGTTCGAATCCCGGAGTGAGAATTGAATTGATGTGATTTTTTTTTAGAACTTTACTTATATAACCACATTCCTCTTGAAGCCAATGACGCAAATGAACACAATATATAATTGAATTCGGTCGGCCTTCGATAGAAAATATTCCATTCTCCTTGGAGAGAGGGTCGGAATGAGATATATTGAATATAAAGAATGATGAACTGAAAAAAAAATCACAAAAGCGTGCAGGATTGGGCCTTTGTTAACCTTCATTTGCTAAATGGTTGTGGTGGACGAGTGGTCTAAATAGCAATGTCACAATAGAAGGCGATATGAAGGATGAGGGTTCGATCCCTACAAAATTCTTTCAGAATTTTATTGAATTTATAAGTATAAATGGCCTTAATTCTCCTATTGTGTCAACGTCCGTGGTGGCCAAAGCGGTTAAAGGGTCGGGTTGCCAAGTAGAGGATGCTGGATCAATCCCCTCTCGAGCCTATCTAGATTTTTCTTCTATTAAGACACAAGGTTAGGGTTAAATTGGATAAATACTTCACATTATTGTCGGACCAGACGGCTCAGTGGTAGAGCGTTGGTCTGGAAATCTAATAATGCGGGTTTGAACCCTGAGGTGGGCAGAATTTCGGGTAGAATGTCGTATAACTAATTTTACATTATTTAGAACTAAAGGTTACAGTTATAATGGATAAAAATTCTAAGATTGTGTTCGACTGGATGGCTCAGTGGTAGAGCGTCGGGAGAACACGGTTGAAATAACGTCATCCATAGTAAGGACTAACATCCTCTAGAAACTTAGGTGGGTTCGAACCCCACGGGGAAATCTAGTTGTGAAAGATTTTCCATAGTGGGCACTCAAAACCACTAGAATCTGCTTTGGACGTCAAAAATACTTTAAAACCGAAAGTTGGGTTTGAGTGGGAATCGAACCCGGGTCGTTTGAACGATAGAAAAATGTAGGGAGGGATGAACAACTCTACGACCACGGCCAAAATAGGTGGGATTTAAACAGTTGTTCGTAAGTAATATTTAAAGTTCAAAGTCACAACCTACTATAGTAGTAAAATAGTAAGTATCTTCCTCTCTCTCCTTTTAGAATCTTGGAGGGACCCGGGCACCAGTTTGCCCCTCGGCTCCCCTCCTTGTCTCTCGTTCTTCAACTTTGCCCCTCGTTCTATCTATTGGTAGTGTCTTGCCTGCGGCAGGCCCAACGTGTCAACTGACATCTTACCTCTAGAGAACTCAGGTCCCTCATATTAGAATGAGAGAGAGAACATGAGACAGTGGCTAAAAGCCTCTGGAGATTTACCTGGGCTCGAACCCTCGCCGTCGAAACAGAGTTCTAGCCCAAGTCCACCATCCATCCATCTAGGCCATAGAGACCCGTTAGCAAACCACGAAATTTTAGCTCTTTTAAATGATTGTGAATCATTTATTAGATCAAAATAGTGATTTTATCGTAGTCGGCTTCAGTGGGATACGATCCCGGTTCTCGTGATATCAAGCTACTGCTCTAACCACAGGGCTACGGCGGACACAGCTTCAACTGGCGAAATAAACGATTTTATATGTGAACTTTTATAATAAATTGTCAAAATCGTGTATTAGTTGCCCCGGTAGAGATTCGTAACCTTGATATCAAGTTCGCCGACCGAGCACTTTGTCCACTGTGCTATCGAGACGACGAGAGAAACTTGCTTATTTATCTATATAGCTCTACAACCAGTAGAGTAAACGCAACGTCAAAATAAATGAATCTTGTCCAGCGTTCGATCCACATTGTTTTACTCAACGGCCATACGCTCTAACCACTGAGCCACGGAGACAGACACGATGAAGTGTTATTTTGTCTATATAGTTAAAGCCCTTATCAAATATTTAATAAAAAATATACTCGACGTGGGAATCGAACCCTCGATCTATCATTTCATATAAAGATCGTACTGTCGAGTCGACTGAGCCACTGTGACATGTACATAAGGTGGCCCAATCAGTATACTAAACTCTTGTTCTTAGTCCTCTGCAATGCAATATCACTGTCTGTCTTGATATAGACTTTTAACCTTAGCAGTCATTCAGCCAAGTGCGATGGCTCAGCCGGTTAAACTGTTCGTTCGTCGTTGATTATTGCGATTTGGGTTCGAGTCCACAAAAAGACAAGAAAAGGCAAAAAGGTAAGTAAAAACTTATATTATTCTTAGAAAACATTACCAATACGCGCGCACACACACAATAACTTCATAATAATAATATAATATCTGCATAAAACTAAAATAAAAACTCATAAAATAATATCCAACAACATTATAAACAATACCTGATATCACCTACGCACAAGACAAACAAAATAAATAAGCGGGTTTTGTACTTTTCAACTGTCAATAATTAAACTTTGAAAAAACATTTTTTTGCCAAAAGTACTATTTTTCCCGTCAAATGTTAAATCTTCGATGATTTCCAAGTTAAATGATATTTATCCTTAAACTCGCTGTATTTATCGTAACACTGCACGAAATGCACGTGCTGGGGCCATTGTGAATATATATCACTTGACGCAAATTCTCTACAACTTTGTTGGCAGCATTCCCAATAGCCTCTACCAAGCCTGTATTAGGAATTTAGCCTATGTGAAATATTCTGGCAGTAGTTCAGTCGGTAGCGAGCACAAGGACTTGATATAATATGACCACCCGAGTTCGAACCCCACGTGTTAAATATAGCGATTCCTTTTGTTAATGGCTTGCAATATATGATAAAGAAAACCTGTTTTTACAAATTTGGGAGATTCTACCAGACCAGATTGAGCCATTTCGATGATAAAAAATGGCTGTACTAATGTTTATGAATGTGTAAAAAATCAAAATAGTTGTGTTTCAAAGTGTCTGTCAGAAGAGATTTGAACTCTTGACCTCCTACCTCTGACCGCATACACGTGAAAACAACCAGGCTAAATTTAATCAAAGATATGACGACTCGGGTTCGAACCCCACGTAGAGAGTGTTTTACATTCGTTTAAATGGCTTACCATAAAAGATAAAGAAGGCTTATTTTTACAAATTCGGGAGACTCTACCCGTCAGGACTGAACCATTTCGGTGATAAAAATGGCTGTACTATTGTTTCTGAATGTATAATAAATCAAAATAGTTTTGTAGCAAAATGTCTGCTTAAAGAGATTTGAACTTTTGACCTTTCATCTCTGACCTCGTGTGCGCACGCGCAAGGAACCAGACTAAATTTATTCAATGATATGACGACCCGGGTTCGAACCTTGTGTAAAGGGTGTTTTTCCTTCGTTAAAATTGTTTACTATATATGATTAAGAAAGCTTATTTTTACAAATTTGAGAGATGTTACCAGACATGACTGAATCATTTCGAGAATAAAAATGGCCGTACTAATGTTTTTGTATGTATAATAAATCATTTAGTTATAATTTCATAGACATGCGGTCCATAAACAGACACATAATATTACCAAAATGCAAATGTATTTTCTAATCAAAATAATACTGCCATGCACACCAAATTTCACATTTACAATACTAATTATAATATAAGATGAAGAAATATTGGCATAGATTGCAAAAACATAATAATATCTGTAAAAATTGACAAATTTCATGCTTGCATAATATTTTATTCTGCCAAAAGGATGCTATGTTACTCTTAAAACCTTATTAACAAGCAACCAAGGCTACCAAATAAACGTAATTAACAATATAACCAAAGCTACCCAGTAAATAAGACTACAAAGTAACTCTCATTAACCATGTAACGAGGCTACCAAGTAACCCAGATTTACCAATTTAATCTAATTAACCAAATTACCATGGCTTTTTGTCAGCCTGAACCTTAATAATCCATAGTACACGTGGATTAGTTCAAAAATAGATAACGTGAGCTTTTGGTAACATTCCCTGAAAAAAAAATTGAAAAAATGCAAAGTTTCCAAAATAACACAGATTGCCTCTAAAAACTCTCAAGGCTTTCTATAAATGAAATCGAGTTCAAGCCTTCTTTCATTATGGCAATGAGTACAGGCACACGGTTAATTCATGCAGTAATATCAAACAGGGGATTTTTTGTTGCCTTCACCTATTTACATCTGTCAGGGGACCTTAGAAGTCAAAAGATGTTTATCAAAGAAGTCATAAAAGATATCCATCAAATAAGTCAAAATTGTCCTTCAAATATATAAGAAAATATCCACCAAAAAAGTCAAAATCATGTCCATCCAAGAAGTCATAACACGTCAATCAAATAAGCCAAATCATGTCAATCAAATAAATCAAAACATATCCATCAAATAAGTCAAAGCATATCCATCAAATAAGTCAAAACATGTCAATCAAATAAGTCAAAAAATATCCATCAAATAAGTCAAAACATGTCAATCAAAGAAGTCAAAACATTTCTATCAAAGAAGTCAAAACATTTCTATCAAATAAATCAAAACAAAAGAAAACTATACCTTTAATGAGTCTCTGTGAAAATCGTAACAAAACCAATAAATTGAGGGCATATAACTATTCTAATGTGATCAGATCTACAAAACATGAAATAAATGAATAGCACAAATTGTATAAGAGATTATCCTATCATTTTAATGTCACATCATTATTGGCGAGTTGAAATTTTGTCTACTATTGAATTGGGTTGCGTAAGTGAAGAATTATCGTGGAATTGAAGGAGAAATTGGAGTTTAATCGGACTATGTGATCTTTTTTTTAAATAAAAACTTCTTTGGAATGAAAAAAAAATGTACAATTCTAAAGGCTCGATTTTTTTGTGCAAGTGCAATTTTTAAAAGGATTATCCGCGACCGAATTTGTTAAATGAAAATCATTTTACAGTTCAAATAGTAACGTTTTATATACGTTTTTTTTTTTCAAGGGAAAGAATTTTCCAATTTTACTGGACCACTGAGACTACTTATGAATTTTTTTTAAACCTAATTTTAGTCGATAGTTTAATACAGTATCAAATCGATTTCAGAAATGGAAATCGGCGATCCATAATAAGTCTTCGGAGTACTGTAATTCGAAGCATTGCACGGAGGTACAATGAGTGCCTCTCAAAATAATAGAATACCCCACAGACCCTTAGGACCTCCTTTGTTTCTGGCTGTCCCTCTCTTCAAACTAATAACTCCCTTTTTCTACTGTCCTCCAATCTTCTATACGACTTTCCCAGCCTATTTCTCATCAAGACTCTTCTTCCTTACTCTTATTATGTCTGTTTCTTTTTCTTTACCTTGCTATAATCTCTTCTCCTCTCTCTCTGATCCGCCAAGCTACTACACGACATTTCCTGTCTATTTCTCATCAAAACTCTCTTTCGTCCTTGCTCTTATTCTTTCCTCCAATCTGTCTGCCTCTACTCTTTACCTTGCTATCTCTACTCTATTTGACCCCTGTAAATTCTACTACTTAATTCAAGCTCTATATATGAAAAAAATGGGAAAATTCCGAAAAAAATGGGAAAGTTTCATAAAAATGTGAAAATTTAAAAAAAAATGTGAAAATTTCAGAAAAATGTGAAAATTTCAGAAAAATGGGAAATTTTCATAAAAATGTGAAATTTTCTAGAAAAATGTGAAAATTTCAGAAAAATGTGAAAATTTCAGAAAAATGTGAAAATTTCAGAAAAATGTGAAAATTTCATAAAAATGGGAAAATTTCAGAAAAATGTGAAAATTTCATAAAAATGTGAAAATTTCGATAAAAATGTGAAAATTTCATAAAAATGTGAAAATTTCAGAAAAATGGGAAATTTTCATAAAAATGTGAAAATTTCAGAAAAATGTCAAAATTTAAAAAAAAATGTGAAAATTTCGAGAAAATGAGAAAATTTCAGAAAAATGTGAAAATTTCGAGAAAAATGTGAAAATTTCAGAAAAATGTGAAAATTTCGAGAAAAATGTGAAAATTTCAGAAAAATGTGAAAATTTCAGAAAAATGGGAAAATTTCAGAAAAATGTGAAAATTTCTAGAAAAATGTGAAAATTTCAGAAAAATGTGAAAATTTTGAGAAAATGTGAAAATTTCATAAAAATGGGAAATTTTCATAAAAATGTGAAAATTTCAGAAAAATGTGAAAATTTCAGAAAAATGTGAAAATTTCGATAAAAATGTGAAAATTTCAGAAAAATGTGAAAATTTCGAGAAAAATGTGAAAATTTCAGAAAAATGTGAAAATTTCATAAAAATGTGAAAATTTAAAAAAAAATGGGAAAGTTTCATAAAAATGGGAAAATTTCATAAAAATGGGAAAATTTCATAAAAATGTGAAAATTTCGAGAAAAATGGGAAAATTCCGAAAAAAATGGGAAAGTTTCATAAAAATGGGAAAATTTCATAAAAATGTGAAAATTTCGAGAAAAATGTGAAAATTTCATAAAAATGTGAAAATTTCATAAAAATGTGAAAATTTCGAGAAAAATCTGAAAATTTCATAAAAATGGGAAAATTTCAGAAAAATGGGAAATTTTCGAGAAAAATGTGAAAATTTCTAGAAAAATGTGAAAATTTCATAAAAATGGGAAAATTTCATAAAAATGGGAAATTTTCGACAAAAATGTGAAAATTTCAGAAAAATGGGAAAATTTCAGAAAAATGTGAAAATTTCTAGAAAAATGTGAAAATTTCAGAAAAATGTGAAAATTTTGAGAAAATGTGAAAATTTCATAAAAATGGGAAATTTTCATAAAAATGTGAAAATTTCATAAAAATGTGAAAATTTCAGAAAAATGGGAAAATTTCAGAAAAATGTGAAAATTTCAGAAAAATGTGAAAATTTCAGAAAAATGTGAAAATTTCGA